AGTGGTAGGAAACTAGCCTGGAGCAAAAAGAGCTCAGGGACAGTGTCCAGACCCAAAGTTCAAGCCCCATGATTGGAAAAAGTAAAATTCACAGGTGTATTGGGACCGGCCAGCAGGTGCTTTGCACTGGTGCCTGGCAGGTGGCAAGCACTCCCTCAGCCTGGGAACTGTCTCTCTTTTCTGACATGGTGACTTGGATTTTGATACTGTGAGGCTCTCTTTTACCCATGAGTCAGTAATTACCAATCTTAGTTTGCCACTGTCCCTTTAAGAATTTGGTGACAAGCCAGGCACTGGTGACTCTCTCCTGCAATCCTAGCTAATGAGGCTGAGACCTGAGGAACATACTTCAGAGCCAGCCCAGGCAGGAAAGCCTGTGAGTTTCTTATCTCCAATTAACCACTGAAAGGCCAGAAAAAGAGCTGTGGTTTAATGGGTAGAGTGCTAGTATTGAACACAAAACCTCAGGGATGGCTGGGTGCTGGTGAATCACAGCTGCAATCCTAACTACTCAGGAGGCTGAGATCTGGGGATCGTGGTTTGAAGTCCATGAGACTCTTGCCTCCAATTAACCACTCAAAAGCAGGAAGTGGTGCTGTGGCTCAAATGGTAGAGGGCTAGCCTTGAGCACAAAGAGGCTCAGGGACAACAAACCAGGCCCTGAGTTCAAAGCCCCACACCCAAGGGAAAAAAAAAAAAACAAGACAGTGACCAGGCCTGAGTTCAAGGTCCAGAACCAGCACATAGACACACAGACACACAATTCCGGCCAGGAGGGTGCCCAAGTCTTGGTTCACCTAGTTTTAAGCTTATAGTGACTCGGAGCACATTACCATACCTAGCTCCCCTCCATGGAGGTGGAGTCTCCAGGGCTGCTCCCCGCAGACTGGCCTGCTTTCAGCTTGCTGGTGTCAGCCTCTCACAAAGCTTGGGGTGACAGGCATAGACCACTGCACACAACTAAGATTGAAAGGGGGTGGGGTTTGTCTCACTAACATTTACCTGGTCTGACCTCAAACCTTGATCCTCCCTTTTTCAACCTCTAAAGTAGCTAGTGTTACAGGCATGGGCCACCAGCACCCAGCATGTCTCAGTGTTTTTGAGAATGCCTGCCTCACTGACAGCGCCAGAGGCCTGCAGAACCTCACATCCCAACTTCCTAAATATGGACAGCCTTCCCAAGCCCCTCGTAGAGAAGTAGAAACCTTCGGTCAGAAATGGATAGAGGGAAATCAAACTTGATTATCTCAGTCGATCTGGGTTTTCACTTCTGCCAAGTTCAGGACACCCAACGGTATTTTTGTAACGAACTTCAGAATGAGAACAAGCCATGTGCCACTGCATCATGTCACTGTCCTAGAAAAACTACATGTGCTAGACTTTAAATATATCCATTTTGAAATGCCATTTAAGGTTTGTTTCTATGGTACCAATCCTATTTAAAGTGGGAACAGAGTGAGCGTCCCCCAGCTCTTTGGAACAATGTAGAAACTGCTGTACGGAGTAGATTTCTTTATCAAGGAGTGTTCAGGAGTGTGAACAGGAAAAGGTGATGGAGATGGTCTTCAAAGGTTGCTTCAGCGAGAGACGTGTGCATTGTGGTCTTGAATTCATAGAAATCTGTTACCTCCGAGAAGTGAGTGGTACTCATATGCCACCCAGGCTTCTGGGTACAGAGAGCATGGAGCTGGAGGCCTGCCTGGGTTCCAGGCCTGGCTCTGTCCCGTAGTGCTGGCATTGCCCCCGCCCCTTTGCCCTGGCCTCCCTCACCTCTCAAAGGAGTGGTGGGGACCAGTGAGAATCAGAGGACCCTGCCACCCTCCTGCCTGCCAAGGAGACTGGTTGCACATCTGAGGACCTCATGGGGAATCTAGACCTGGGTCCACATGTCCCCAGCCCTGAGTTCAATTCTTCAGCACCACATAGACAGAAAAAGCTAGAAGTGGTGCTGTGGCTCAAGTGGTAGAGCACTAGCCTTGTGCTGAAGAGCTGAGGGACAGTGCCCAGGCCCAGAGTTCAAGCCCCATGACTGGCAGAAAAAAGAAAAAAAAGAAGCAGGACATGAAGGATGGATCCCCATGGCCCTAAATTGAAACCGCTGGTAGTTTTCCCTTCTTGTTTTGCAAAAGGCTGAGCATTGGAACCCAGAAATCCTGGAAGGAGTCAGGGTCACTGATCATTGATGCTGGGAGGTCTCAGATAGTACAACCCTTTTAAAAATAGTCATAGGTACTAAGCTCTACTTTGCAGGAGCTTTTTGTGCATTAAATGACACTTGGTGGTTTTTTATTTCCTGTTTTGAAAACTACCCCTTGGAGCAGCACTGCCAAGCTCCCCCATATACCGGTGGGAAAGCTCAGGCCCAGAAAGGTGAAGTAACCTGCCCCAGATCCCCTATCTAGAAAGCAGCAATGTGGTAATTTGCTTCATTGAAATCTTTACTCCAGAGGCTTCATTTAAAAAAAAAATCCTGAGCTGGGCATAGCTACTCAGGAAGCTGAGATCTGAGGATCTGAGGAAACCAGCTCACGGCAGGAAAATCCATGAAACAATTACCTCCACTGTGGCTCAAGTGGTAGAGTGTCAGCCATGAGCAAACAGCCCAGGAAGAGCACAAGACTCTTGAGTGCAAGCCCTGTGCCAACACACTAACAAAGAATGTTTGGAGGGAATAGAAGGGCAGGGGCAAACATTACAGGGTGAATGGTACCAAAACACAGGACACCTATAAATGAAAATGGCCAAAGGAAACTCACTGGAAGCTGTTACATTGTGGGGCAGTGGAGACGGAGAGGGGGAGTAGGTGGAGGGTTGATCCAACTCAAGTCCTCTACACTCATGTGTGAAATGCCACAGTATCTTCCCTTTGAACAATTAGGGTACACTTTAGCAAAAATGAATATTAAAAAGGTGAAGCATGTCCTGTTTGAAGATGAATGCCAGCATCAGGCACTGACTTTAGTTGTCACTTCTTTCCACTCTCTCAGTCTAAACATCTCTTTGGGCTTGGGCACTTTTTTTTGTGTGTGCTTTTTTTTTTCCTTCAAATTTTTTATTGTGATTAAGTGGTTACATAATTTCCCAAATTTCACAGTAGTGTGGGATAGTGATGCTCAGTTAAAGTCACAAACACATTCTAACTTTCCTGGAGCAAATTGTCTCTCACGGTCTATAACATTTATGAGTTCTACGAGCTTTGCGATAGTTTGTCTCTTTGCTCTTGGCTTACCTCACTCAACGTGATTCCTTCTAGCTCCATCCATTTCCCTGCAAATGCCATTATTTTGTCATTTCTAATGGCTGCATAATATTCCATTGTGTATAGATACCACAATTTTTGGATCCATTCATCTGTGGTGGGGCATCTGGGTTGTTTCCATATCCTGGCTATTGTGAATAGTGCTGCAATAAACATGGAGGTGCACGTGTCCTTGTATACTGGTTCCTGTTGTTCAGGATAGATGCCTAGAAGTGGTATGACTGGGTCATAAGGGAGGTCAATATTTGGCTTTCTGAGGACCCTCCAGACTGCTTTCCAAAGTGGTTGTATAAGTGTACATTCCCACTAGCAGTGTAATAGGGTTCCTCTTTCTCCACATCCCCTCCAGCATTTGTCGTTGGCTGATTTGTGGATGTGGGACATTCTGACTGGGGTAAGGTGGTATCTCAGGGTTGTCTTTATTTGCATTTCCTTCACCACCAGGGATGGTGAACATTTACTCATGTGTTTCTTTGCCATTTTTATTTCTTCATTTGAGAAGTCCCTGTTTAGTTCCCTTGCCCATTTAGTAATTGGTTTGTTAGGTTTGGGAGGGATTAGTTTCTTGAGTTCCCTGTATATACTGGATATTAATCCCTTGTCTGATACACTGCTGGTAAATATTTTTTGGGGCACTTTTGAGGATGACAAGCTAGCTGCTGTGTAGCTGCACCTCTGTTCATGTTTGCAGGGCTCAAGATCCTGGTTCCAGTTATGCTTCCTTGATAGGAATACCTTGTAAGTGTCCTGTAGGCTTCTCAGTGGCCTTTCAAGTGGAACGGTGGCGGTGACTTCACTCTGCTTCTCCTTACCCCCCCCCCCCCTTGACAATGCACCTATAATCACTTGATTGGAATCTGCATCCTTGATAGGATGTTGGGATTACAGCCACGCACCTCCATGCCCAGCTGCCGGTTTGCTTTTGAAAGTGTTTATATTAAGAGTCCCAGGACTCCAGGGCTGGTGGCTCACTCTTGTAATCCTAGCTACTAAGGAGGCTGAAATCTGAGGATTTGGGTTCAAAGCCAGCCCAGGAAGGGAAGTCCATGTTTTATCTCCAATTAACCACCAAAACCCAGAAGTGAGAGCGCACGCACACACACACACACACACACACACACACACACACACACACACACACACACACACACACACACACACACACACACACACACCCTAAGGCCTTGTTCTCCTAGGTCCCTCGTTTGAAGAGTGCATCTTTCGAGTCTAGCTTTATTTGGATCGGTGAAAGCATGGATTTGTTGGATCCGCTGGAAAGTGGTGATGAGATTTCCTGGAGGGAGCTTGCACGGTTAGTCCGGCTCGGCACGGTCACGCCCTGCCCGCGGCTCCCAGGCCGGGATCGCGCCGCACCCGGGGGTCTCCTCTGAGGCTATCCCCCTCACCCCGCCGGCCAGGCCTACACCCCCACGGCACCGCCTCACAGTCCGGCACGGGCGCCTCCTCCGGGCCCAGGCGGCTCAACGCCTTCTTCCCAGGCTGCGCGTGGCCGTCCGAAGCGCGGGAGAGGCGGGGAAGAGGTCAGAGTCTTGCCGAAGACTCGTCGTTCGCAGCCGCCACGCGAGCCGCCGGGTCCACGCCGGGCCGCGGCCGCCCCCAGGGAGCCCCCGCCCCCCCCCCCCCGGGCCGAGCGTTCTGCGGCTGCCATGGCAACGGGCGCGCCGCTTCCGTGGTCTGAGGCGCCACTTCCGGCGCGCCGGCCCGGCACATCCGGGTTCCCGGCCGCTGGGGCGGAAGTCTTCAGGCTCGGGACGCGAGACGTTGTTGGGAGCGGTGGAGGCCGGCTCGGAGAGAGGTGAGCGGGGCCGGGGAGAAGCCGGCGGCGGCGACGCTGCGCCAGGCCCGCCCGTGGAGCTCCCGCTTCTGCCGGGCCGGAGCCCGGACAGCCGGGCCGGGCGGCGACGCTGCGCCAGCCCCGCCGGCAGGGCCCCGGGCCGGCCGGTGAGCCCCGCGGGGCCTCGGTCTGCTTGTCTCGGGCTCTCGGCGCCCGGAAGGGCTTGCAGGGCGGCTCCCCCGCTGGCCGCGATCGTCTCTGTGGTGGGGTTCAGGCAGCGCAGCGGCGGGAGCGAGGCGCCCCGGGCCCCCAGCCCGAGCTCGCGCCCCAGCCCGGCGGGCGCTCGGCGCCTGCGCATCCGCGCGGCGGAGCGCGCCACCTCACGTCGGCGGTCTAACACCTCTAACACCCCGTGGGCGCGCGCGCCTCCGCGGGACGGTGGAGCGGGCTCCGCCGCGGCGGAGGGGAGAGGGTGCAGATGAAGAGGAGCAGCGAAGGCATTGGAGCGGGTTTTAAAAGGGAAAGGGTGGGGTAAGGGAGGCCAGCGGAGGGGCCGAGGCTGGTCAGGATGCACTGTGGAAATGAGCTCTCCCCTACAATTAGTTAAAAAAAAAAAATCGGTCTCAAGCACCCAGCCTGTACTTGGCATCCACTAAGGGCTCTATCCTTCGTGACTACTTTTGGGATTGTTTTATTTTTGGTCCGGTCATGGGGCCTGAACTCTGGGCCTGGGCGCTGTCCCTCAGCTCTTCAGCTCAAGGCTAGTGCTCTACCACTTGAGCCACAGCGCCACTTCCGGCTTTTTTCTTTTTGCTTATGTGGTGCTGAGGAATCGAACCCAGGGTCTCAGGCATGCCAGGCAAGCGCTCTACCACTGAGCCACCTTCCCAGCCCCTACTTTTGGGATTTTTTTTTTAAAACCATGTCCTACTGTTGAATCTCATTTCTCTGGGACTCCCTATCTCCTTTAGGACATCTCCCTCCTTCTGTGCAGCCCTGGGGGAGGCTGCATCCAACTAGTGCCCTTGGGGAGATCTTGGTGACAGCTGTGCAGAGCTTAACGCACGCAGCCTGAAGAAATGGGGAATTCCTTGTTAGTGAAGGCTGCATGTAGGGACTGGTAGATCAAAACCTAGAGGCTGTCATGGATTTGTGTGTGACTGTGCCAATGCAAGGTTGGCTTTTCTGTGCAGTTGATGCTCATACACCAAAGTATTTAGGAAGAGTTAGGACTTGAGCTGAGTTTGGTTCACCTGTTCTCACAACACTCGAAAACGGCAAGGAATCTAATGGGCTTCATCCAGTATCATTTGTAGAGTACTTGTGAGCTCAGTGGTTTATAACTCTAATGAACATTCTGTAATGTTGAGTTTAGTCATCAGTTCCGTTTAAGACATAGACAGAACTCATTGCCTGGCTCTGAAGGGGTGCTTATTCCAAGCCACAGTTATTGCAACCTTCTGCCTAAGTACTGATTATTTTCTGAAATAGGATTTTAATGTCCACTCTTGAAAAATGATGATAATGGGTTTTGGATTTGGAGAAAGTTCTGGAGCCTCCCAGGGGATCCTCCTGTACCTCTCTGGGACTTGATATAGATGGTGCCCTTTTTGTCCCTTTGTTTAGTGACTTGTGATGTCACTGTCCCACTTGTACCGGGACGGGGAAGGCCTAATGGATGATGACGATGACGAGCGGGAGAACTTCGAGATCACTGACTGGGATCTCCAGAATGAGTTCAACCCCAACCGGCAGCGCCACTGGCAGACCAAGGAAGAGGCCACCTATGGGGTGTGGGCTGAGCGCGATTCGGATGAGGAGAGGCCCAGCTTCGGAGGCAAACGGTACTACTGCTTGTCCTGAGTTGTTTGCCCTTGCTCTAGGGAAGTGGGAGGCAGAGTGAGGGAAACATCCCTGTAGGATCCTCTCTGGGTTTTAGTGAGTCCTAGCTATCCCATCAACTATCAGGGAGGATGTGCATGTCTGTGTCTGTGTGTCTGTCTGTCCAGTTTCTTTCTTTCTTTCTTTCTTTCTTTTTTTGTTGGTTATGGGGCTTGAACTCTGGGCCTGGGCACTGTCCCAGTGCTCTTCAGCTCAAGGCTACTGCTCTACCACTTGAGCCACAGTGCCACTTCCAGTTTTCTGGTGGTTTATTGGAGATAAGAGTTTCACAGCTTTTCCTGCCTGGGCAGGCTTTGAACTATGATCCTCAGATGTCAGCCTTCTGAGTAGCTAGGATTACAGGCGTGAGCCAACAGCACCTGACTTGGCTTTTTTGTTTTGTTTTGTTTTGTTGGTCGTGGGGCTTGAACTCTGGGCCTGGGCACTGTCCCTTGCCCTCTTCAGCTCAAGGTGAGTGCTCTTCCTCTTGAGCCACAGCGTCACTTCCGGTTTTCTAGTGGTTTATTGGAGTCTCATGGACTTTTCTGCCCAGGCTGGCTTTGAACTATGATCCTCAGATTTCAGCCTCCTGAGTAGCTAGGATTACAGGCATGAGCCACCGGTGCCTGGCTTTCTGCTTGTTTTTATAAATCATTATTTTCAACATTAGATTAGATGAGATTTCTTTTTTTGTGGTTTTGCTTTATGCATTTTTATGGCTTATAAATGCTGTTTTTAATGCCCTTGGGATTATATTCAATAAAATTCAGAGTTAGTTTCTTGGAGTTTTTTTGTTTTTGTGTTTGTTTTTTTTTGTTGCCAGTCATGGGGCTTGAACTCACAGCCTGAGTTCCACCATTGCACCACTTCTGGCTTTTTCTGTGTGGTTCATTGGAGATAAGAATCTTACAGATTTTCTGCCTGGGCTGGCTTTGAACTATAATCCTCAGATCTCAGCCTTCTGAGTAGCTAGGATTAGAGGTGTGAGCCACTGGGGTCCTGCTCTTAGAATATTTTTAATTGTTATTATAGGTTCATATAATGTAATGAATTTTACTTATATGTTTTTTTTTTTTGTTTTATTTTGTGTTTTTTTGGGTCCGGTCGTGGGGCCTGAACTCTGGGCCTAGGCACTATCCTTCAGCTCTTAAGCTCAAGGCTAGCGCTCTACCACTTGAGCCACAGCGCCCCTTCCGGCTTTTTTCTTTTTGCTTATGTGGTGCTGAGGAATCAAACCCAGGGCCTCAGGCATGCAAGGCAAGCGCTCTACCACTGAGCCACCTTCCCAGCCCACCCTTTTGATTTTCTGACATACAAATGCTACTCTTTTCCTGTGAGGTGCTCTGAGTCTTAAGAATTTTCTAGTGAGCTGTGTGCAGGAGGGGATGCTGCAGAGTTTTCCTCATGGACCCGGGGGCTGGGTGTCTGCCTATAGGGCCCGTGACTACTCCGCACCTGTGAACTTCATCAGCGCTGGGCTCAAGAAAGGGGCAGCTGAGGAAGTGGAGCTGGAAGATTCTGATGAAGAGGAGAAACCTGTGAGACAGGAAGACTTCCCTAAGGATTTTGGACCAAAGAAGCTGAAAACGGTAGCATTCTTTTGGGGGACGCTTCCTGGGTGTTCTTCCGAGGCTCTGTGGTCCAGACGCCTCCTGGCTGTATGTGGGAAGACTAGGAGGCACTGGGTGTGGGTTTCTCCTCAGACCAGCCAGTTTCTACATCAGTCACTGACTGTCAGGCTAGATTTTTCGTCTTTCTCTTCTTCCATTAATGCTTTTCTTCTTTGCAGGGAGGCAACTTTAAGCCCAGCCAGAAAGGCTTCGCAGGAGGAAGCAAGTCCTTCATGGACTTTGGCAGTTGGGAGAGACACACAAAAGGGATTGGGCAGAAGCTTTTGCAGAAGATGGGCTACGTCCCCGGCCGGGGCCTCGGGAAGAATGCCCAAGGTGAGGCCAGGCCAGAGCCCTGCGTGCCCTGGTTTGGTGGGGTCTCCTCCCCTCTGGAAAGTGCTGTAGCTGTGCTGCTTTGTCGTCCAGAGTCATGCTCCTCTGCAGCCTTGCTTTCTCACACACAGGTCACATAAAACACTTGCCTGAGTGGGAGGAGGAATGTTTCAGTCTATGACAGGCTATACAATGGCTGCTTTAAAAAACAACAAAAAAAATGCTTTTTTATTTTTGTTGGTCATGGGTTGAACTCTGGCCCTGGGCACTGTCCCTCAGCAATTCAGCTCAAGACTAGCTCTCTACCACTGAGCCATAGCGCCACTTCTGGTTTTCTGGTGGTTTATTGGAGATAAGAATCTCACAGACTTTCCTGCCTGGGCTGGCTTTGAACCGTGATCCTCAGATCTCAGACTCCTGAGTAGCTAGGATGACAGGCATGAGCCCAGCACAGTGGTGGCTTTTATGGCCTGGCCAGTGTTTGTTAAAAACTGAACTTGCTGCCAGCATTTAAAAATAAGACATCACCTAAAACTCTGGGTTCTCCTTGTAGTGGTTTAGCTGTGTATAGCTGTCTCTGCCACTGCTGCCCATACCCTTCACCCAGAAGCAATCCCGACTGCCCAGTGGCCTTCAGCTGGAAGCAGTCTCTTCTATTTACTGTTGATGGTCATCCCACCCATTTGTTCATTTACATGAGCTTTCCTAGGCCCAAAGGGATCTGAGATTGTAATCCCTACCCACAGGACTTTCATCCTTTGGAAATATCAGTGAGATGAGACATGTACATAGCTTTATTACCAGCCAAGATGTATAGCCAGCAGTGGCTGAGCAGAGCCAAGCCGATCCTGCCTTGCTTCCCTCTTAGCCTCTCACCCTCACATAGCCCCAGCCGGTCATAGTCCCTCGCCTGCAGGATCAAACTTTCCCATGAGCCAGCGCCCTCCTGGCACCATGGCAAGTGTTCTAGATCAGCATCTGGAAGGGGAACGAGAAGGTGCATCCTGTAACTGGAGTTGTGCAGCACTGAGTGCAAGGAGCGGAGTAGGAGTCGTTGACCCTGTGGTCCTGTCTGTAACTGCTGTCAGGAGAAAGCTTAAGTTTCTTGCAGGGCTCAGGGTATAAAAGTCTCCCCTGCCCCCCTTCCCCTCAGCAAGGCCACTGGCAGCTTTTCTGCAGTGAGGATCAGTATTTTAGGTGGTTTTCCCTGCTTGCCATGGCAGATGTGCTCATGCTGAGATGTGAGATTTCCCATCGTAGATGACTTGTTCTCTTCCCATCCTGTCCACAAAAGCAGTGACCCCAGGTAGGAACACAAATGACCCGAGTGAGCAGAGGCACTGTGCCAGCGGAGAGTCAGGCTTCGAATTTGCCCAGTGTGATCCACACCCTTGAGCCACTGAGCCTGAAGCCCCTCTTCTCTTTCTGCTTCTGTCAGGTATCATCAACCCAATTGAGGCCAAGCAGAGGAAGGGGAAAGGCGCAGTGGGGGCCTATGGCTCGGAGCGGGCCACGCAGTCCCTGCAAGACTTCCCTGTGGTAGACTCGGAGGAGGAGGCTGAGGAGGTGACCTGGCTGGGACTGGGGGTGGGGGTGGGGCAGGTGCTATTCTTGGACCATGCATGTACACCCTGCTTATAGGTCAGGTTCTGGGCTGCAGGGGGCTGTGCCCGAGTGGGTGGGTGTAGGCCCCAGGTGTGGACTCACGGAACCCCGGCAGCTGTGGTGTGCTGAGAAATGGCACTGGGAGCTAGAAAGCACCTGGGTACAACACCTAGAATAGGGAGTTTGGGGTGGCAGCTCAGAGGAGGGCCAGTGGGCACCGCGTGGGGAGCTCTGAGCTCTGTATTGAGAGACCGTGAGGAAGCTTTGTGAGGTGGGCTGGGTCTCGGTCCCGCTGCTGTGCAGCAACGTGGTGTGTGGGGACTGATGACATCCCTGTGCCCAGGAGTTCCAGAAGGAGCTGAGCCAGTGGAGGAAAGACCCCGGCGGAGGCAAGAAGAAACCCAAGTACTCTTACAAGACGGTGGAGGAGCTGAAGGCCAAGGGCAGGATCAGCAAGAAGCTCACCGCCCCCCAGAAAGAGCTTTCTCAGGTCAAGGTACGGGGCCTTTGATACCTGGCTGTGAGTCTTCTAAACGGGTTGTCTGTGTGCATGTGCGCACGTTTGTGTTTGTACACAAACGTGCATGTGTGCGCACATGACCCAGTACCAGGGCTTGAATTCAGGGCCTTGTCTACCACTTAAGTCAAGCCTCCAGTGTGGCAGTTTTTTCCTCTGGTTAATTTGGGATGAAGTCTCAGCTAGGCTGGCTTCAAACCACATTGCTCCCGGTCTCAAGTCTCCTGAGTAGCAAGGGATTACAGGCACAAGCAACCGGTGCCTTTCTGTGAGTGTCAAGGCTCACTCACACCTGTCATCCCAGCTCCTCAGGAGATGGCCTTGGACTCGGGGGCCCATGCTTGCCTGCCTTCCCAGCTGTGCTGACGGCATAAACAGGATAGTGGTTCACACCCACCCAAGCAAAAATGTGAGACCTAACACACAAAAAGGGCTGGGAAGGTGGCTCAGTGGTAGAGTACCTGCCTAGTAAATGGAAGGCTCTGCTTTTTTTTTTGTCAGTCATGGGGCTTGAACTCTGGGCCTGGGTGCTTTCCCTGCGCTCTTCAGCTCAAGGCGAGTGCTCTACCACTTGAGCTACAGAGCCACTTCCAGTTTTCTGGTGGTTTATTGGAGATAGGAGTCTCCTGGTCTTTCCTGCCCAGGCTGGCTTTGAACCTCGATCCTCAGATCTCAGCCTCCTAAGTAGCTAGGATTACAGGTGTGAGCCACTGGCGCCCAGCCAGGCTCTGCTTTTAGCCCCCAGAAATCTCCCTTCCCAGCCACAGAGAAAAAAAGAAAGAAATGGAAGGTAAAATAGGAAACATAGTTTGCCCAATTTCAAGGCCTTAGTGCGTTGCTGCTGGCTCTTCCTTGCCTCTGCGCGTGCACGCGCCCTGCAGCTCTGTGCCATGTTTTGGTTGTATGGGCGGGGCACCTGCGCTCATCAGCACAGCTTCTCCCGTACTGTCCCCAATTCTCTGTTGACATTTCACCAGTTATCCTGGCTTGGTGAGCAGGACCCAGGCCAGAACGGCCGGCTGTGCTGTTCTAGCCCAGTGCAGGCCCACACTGAAAAACACTGGTCTCTCTAGAAGCTTCCATGGGCAGCAGCCACACTCATCGCCCCGCCTCCTCCAGGTCATCGACATGACAGGCCGGGAGCAGAAGGTCTACTACAGCTACAGCCAGATCAGCCACAAGCACGGTGTGCCCGATGATGGGCTGCCCCCGGCCGCCCAGCCACTGCCACTGCCGGGCAAGGAGACTAAGGTGCCAGGCTTTGCACTGCCCGAGCTGGAGCACAACCTGCAGCTGCTCATCGAGCTCACGGAGCAGGAGATCATCCAGAGTGACCGGCAGCTGCAGTACGAGCGCGACATGGTGGTCAACCTCTCGCACGAGCTGGAGAAGATGTCTGAGGTGCTGGAGCACGAGGAGCGCGTCATCTCCAACCTCAGCAAGGTGCTGGAGATGGTGGAGGAGTGTGAGCGGCGCCTGCAGCCGCACTGCCCTGACCCCCTCACGCTGGACGAGTGTGCCCGCATCTTCCAGACCCTGCAGGACAAGTACTACGAGGAGTACCGCATGTCGGACCGTGTGGACCTGGCCGTGGCCATTGTCTACCCGCTCATGAAAGACTACTTCAAGGAGTGGGATCCCCTCAAGGTGAGCGGGACGGGGCGGGGGCGCCGCCTCAGCAGACAGGGCGGTGTGGAGGCCGAGGGCCGCTGACCTGCCCCATCTCTGCAGGACTGCACCTATGGAACTGAGATCCTCTCCAAGTGGAAGAGCCTGCTGGAGAATGATCAGATCCTGTCCCACGGTGGCCAGGATCTCTCAGCTGATGCCTTTCACAGGTATGAGGCAAACACCAGGTGGGAGAGGCTCTCCTGCTCCCCGCACCCCCTGCTCATTGCCGGCCCTGCTCTGAGGATTTCAGGTCACCTGCTGTGGCCAGCTCAGCTAGGTCCTCAGCCTAGAGAAAGGGCAGCGGGCTCACTTGCCACCCTGCGCCCCTCTGCCCACCTGCAGGCTCATATGGGAAGTCTGGATGCCTTTTGTTCGAAATATCGTCACCCAGTGGCAGCCAAGGAACTGTGAGCCAATGGTGGACTTCCTGGATAGCTGGGCACACATCATCCCTGTGTGGGTCTTGGAAAACATACTGGACCAGCTGGTCTTCCCCAAGCTGCAGAAGGAGGTGTGTCCGGGGCTGCTGTTGGTCCTCGCACCCTTGGCCGTCCTCTCCCCTCCTCTCCTCACCTCTGTGCCGAGTGTGGCTTGACTGCCGGCGCCTGTCAGCTCCACTGTCGCCTTACTACCTTCCTTTCCCACTGCTCCCAAACCTGCCCCAGGTGGACCTCATCTTTTTCCCTCATCCTTTTACTTTTTTTGTTTTGGCCAGGGTGCTGTCCCTGAGCCTCTTTGTGCTCAAGGCTAACTCTACCATTGAGCTACAGCGCTGTTTCTGGTTTTCTGGTGAGCAATTGGAGATAAGGATTTCCTGGACTTCCCTGTCTGGACTGGCTTCGAACTGCGATTCTCAGATCTCATCCGCCTGAGTAGCTAGGTTGACAGGCGTGAGCCACTAGTGCCCAGCTCTTTTACATTGCTTTTGAGTTAGCAGTTTCTTTTTTGTTTTTAAATTTTGAACTATAATGTTATTGTCTTTAGTTGTACAAGGAGTTCCCGGTCAACCTGTCAGTTTAGGGTATCCTGTGGATGTTGCTGCTTTTGTCAAATTTCCCGTCTCTCCCAACTCCAGTTCATAGTTTCTTGACGTTTCATCAGTGAAATCAGAAGTATGCGTGTGTGCTTTCACATGTGGATGGTGGTCTCTGTTCAGGGGAAGTGGCATGCATGCAAGATGCTGCTCCTGTGCCTGGGCGGTTCTCTATACACACTGCGGCCTCCGCATCCTGCAGGGGCAGGGTGGCTTGTAACTACACTGTCTGCCCTCCCCCCTGCAGGTGGACAGCTGGAACCCACTGACGGACACGGTGCCCATCCACTCATGGATCCACCCATGGCTGCCCCTCATGCAGGCGCGGCTGGAGCCACTCTACTCACCCATCCGCAGCAAGCTGTCCAGTGCCCTGCAGAAGTGGCACCCCAGCGATGCCTCGGCCAAGCTCATCCTGCAACCCTGGAAGGACGTCTTCACCCCGGGCTCCTGGGAGGCCTTCATGGTGAAGAACATTGTGCCCAAGCTGGGTAAGGAAGCAGGGATGTGCATGGATCCCAGTGGCAAGGAGCCACAGCTCAGGAAATGGGGATTTCCCAGGGTGGCTGGGCCGAGGCTGTGGAGGCTGGATAGACAGGATAGGCTGGTAAAGATGCTTTCCGCTTATGGCAGCCTCTAGCTTGTGCAGTGAGGGCTCACCACCCATGGTGTCCTGATTGGCCCCTTGGGGCTTCTGGCATTAAGGCGGCCATTTGTGTCCTGAAATGGCTATGGTATTTGATCCTAAATTATTAACAAGTCATTTCTGGGTAGGAGAAAACCTGATTCTCTGACCTTTAAGGCGGTCAGAGCCTGTGGGGCGGGGCGATGGTGGCTCTGCAAGTGTGGCTGAGCCCAGGTGCTGTGTTGCAGGCATGTGTCTGGGTGAGCTGGTCATCAACCCCCACCAGCAGCACATGGACGCTTTCTACTGGGTGATGGACTGGGAAGGGGTGATCTCCGTGTCCAGCCTGGTGGGGCTCCTGGAGAAGCACTTCTTCCCCAAGTGGCTTCAGGTAAGCCTCACGTCTGCATCGCTGTGTGGGGAGACGGGGACTTGCTGCATGTTGTGGCGGCGTAAGTGGCTCCAGGCAGTGGCCCTGGACAGGCCCGACGATGTCTGTGTGTGGCACATCTGTTCTGTGCCAGCAGCTGTCCAGCCCTTCCCACCCAGTGCAGGGCGGAGGCTCGCTTTGGTGGGTTCAGGAGCAAGGCTGCCAGCTGCCAAGCTGCCTCCACCTCCCTCACCTCAGGGCCAGGCTCTGGGCTCCCCTGGGCTCGCAGAAGGGTCACTGTCCAGCAAGGGGCCCCCGATGCACCCGCCCGGGGCGAGTTCCACCTCTCCTTTGCTGTCTGGCAGGTGCTGTGCTCCTGGCTCAGTAACAGCCCCAATTACGAGGAGATTACCAAGTGGTACCTGGGATGGAAGTCTGTGTTCTCAGACCAGGTGCTGGCCCACCCAGCGGTCAAGGACAAGTTCAATGAAGCACTGGACATCATGAACAGGGCGGTGTCCTCCAATGTTGGTGAGTAGACTTGGTCCCTCCCTGCAGACCGCCTGCTCCCTCACCTGTCCCTGCTGTGTCAACTTATCAGCTCACCCCACTCCCAGATCCAGCTGACTGGGGACTTAGTTCCCAGCTGGAGCTTGGTTCTGGTGACCCTCTAGCTGTCTGGGCCCCTTCCCGCACACCATGCCGTGTGGCTGAGCTGCTCACAGAAGAGCCTCTCCTGCGTGTGCACAGCCACAGTGCCTGTGTCCTGGGGATGGACGGACTGAGGCTCTTGGTGGCTGTGAGCAGGCAGTTCACCCCTCCCTCTGTGCCGATACCCTCTTCTGTCTTTCCGCTTGGCTCCTGAGTGACAGCGTGGGGGGGCATGTGCTTAGCCCCGTGTTGGGAGCTAAGCATTAGGCTCTTGTCACCACAGAGCCAAGTCACCGCCCTGACATTGCTAACCATGTCTGAGCTCTGGGACAGTTTCTTCCCCTCCCTCCCACTCCCCCATGAACACAACACGGGGTCGGTGTCACCAGACAGTTTAATGAGGCAGGGAAACGTCTGTGCTGCTCCCCACCAGACTCCCTCGGCCACCCCAGGCCACGGGGTCCCAGTCCTGCCTTCCCCGGTGCCCCTTGAAACAGCGGCTCCTCCTTCCACCTGGGCAGGAACACAAGTACTCAAGAGCTGCCTGTGACAGGGCAGAGACAGCCAGTGACTGGAGGTCGAGGGCCCCAGTTCTGATTCCTCCTCGTTAGCCAGTCTCCGCACTCATCCCTGTGAGCCTGGCTGGTGTCTTAACCCTCAGAGGCGTCAGATGATCTGTGTCAGCGCCTGATACCCTTATGGCCGCGCTGGCTGGGCCTAGGGCCAGGCTCTGGGTCTCCTGAGGCTTTTCCTCTCCCACCACCTTGTCCTGCCTACTGTTGCAGGGGCCTACATGCAGCCAGGAGCACGGGAGAACATTGCGTACCTCACGCACACGGAGCGCAGGAAGGACTTTCAGTACGAGGCCATGCAGGAGCGGCGTGAGGCCGAGAACATGGCGCAGAGGGGCATCGGTGTGGCCGCCAGCTCAGTGCCCATGAACTTCAAGGACCTCATTGAGACTAAGGCGGAGGAGCACAATATCGTCTTCATGCCGGTCATCGGCAAGCGGCACGAAGGCAAGCAGCTGTACACCTTCGGCCGGATCGTCATCTACATTGACCGGGGTGTGGTGTTTGTGCAGGGTGAGAAGACCTGGGTGCCCACCTCCCTGCAGAGCCTCATCGACATGGCCAAGTAGGCTGCCCGCGCGCCACGGCTGCACCAGGGCCCACAGAGAGAGGACAGCCTGTGAATACACTGTCTGAACTTGTCTTTGGACGTAGCGTCTCTGTTCAGGACACGCCACCTCGCCACCAGGGAGGGACGTGGGGCATGTTGCAGCGTCAAGATGTCCTAAGAAGACCTCACCGTCCCCAGACAGGACAGCTACCCACAGGCAGTGCAGGCATGTGGCCCTGTGCACAGCCCTTCTCAGCATGGCCCCTGTGTTGTGGCACCAGGGTTTGGGCTGGCAGCCGCAGGACAGACAGGCTTCTTCCTGATGATCTCCAGGTCCTCACAGTCCTGGTAATCAGGCTCCTCCCGAGAGGCCCACAGGTGCCCAGGGAGTTGCTCCAGCCTTGGCATAGGGAACCAATGCACAGAGGTGTCGTTAAAGGTATCTGCATACCGTGGGGTGTGTGGAAGCTGCAGCTCCTCCAGGGCCTCCAGGACCTGAGTATACAAGTCCAAGCAGAAAGAATGAGGGTCTTTTTCTGCTGTGAATTGGAAGCTCTAAGGGCCATGGGGTGGTACACGTGATACGGAGAGGGCACTGAGATTTCCTGGCTTCAGGAACACAGGGATGGCCTGTGGGAGTGGTCTCGCTTCCCGCCCCCACACCCTTTTCCCAACCTTCCTTCAGTGCCTACCTTTGCCACATACGGGTAACTCTTCTGCAGAACCCTTGTAAGCATCCTAGAAATAATAAACACCATCAGGAGGAGTGAGGGTGTGAAAGGTAGATGACCTGATCTAGCCAGGGTTTGGGGAGATGGGGGGGAGGGGAAGAGAGGGAGTGGAGAGAAGGAGGGAGAGAGGGAAGGAGGGGGAGAGGACAGTTGTAGGGTGGCTAAAGGGTAGAGAATGTGGTTCAACACTAAAGCCCTGTATGCTAAGAAATGCAACAGCTGTTGCAAACTTTAGCCTGTCCAAGAGCAGGGAGAAAGGACTTGTGAACAGATCTCGCAACCCAAGGTAGAACCCTTCACATTTCTGGGTGGGCAGCAGTTGGGCCCTTGGGGGATAGGGCCTGCACACCCAGCTCACCTTTCCCCGAGGCCTGTGAAGCTGTTCCCAATGACCACCATCTTGGAAAGGGCGTCTACCGACCAGTTGCTCCATAAAAGGTTGTTGTACAGCGCTGTCCCACAGTGTGGCATGTAGAAGATGGTAGGCTCTCCACGCACGCTCCGCTTGCCTTCCTGGGTGCAGCAGGAACAGCTGTGAGCCTCACCCCTGGCTCCTCACAGCAAGGGCAGAGCAGGGGCAGGGCTGAGATGGGGGATGTCAGGTGGGACAAAGTCAAAACTGGGCTGTGGAAGAGCCCTTATCAGTCACATATGCATGTGACAGCTGTGCAGTTACACAGGGCCAAAACAGTCAGTGCCTGTCCTGAGCACCACGCTCCCACTGACCCAAGAGCTTCTTGGGCAAGGATGGGGGGGGCACTGTGGTGGCAGTGGTGGTGGCCCCCTTGTAGCCACTTCCTGCCAAACCCTGGCACAGCCAGGTCACCTCCGGGAGCTCCCTGGGGGGCAGTGCCACCCTTCCTGAGTGGCCCACTCCTGGCAGGGCCTGCCCCACTCTCCGCTCATCCTGAGGTCGGCATGCGGTGCTGTCCCTCTGGCAGACTTCTGCTCTGACCCCCAAACTCTCCCACCTTGGCTCACACCGGCTCCCTCACTGTCAACGTGGCTTGCTGTGACGGGCCCCGTGCTCTGCAGTGACAATGTGTTCCCTGATGGCCTTACTGGCTTCATTTCATCACCCTAAGCTCTGTGCCCATGGGATAGGAATCTGATGGTATACTGGGTATGGAGGTGCCTGCCTGTAATCCCAGCACTTGGGAGGCTGAGGCAGGGGGGCTTGCAAGTGTGAGGCTAGCCTGGGTTAAACAACGTCTAAAACGAGCCAGGATGAACAGAATGGCAGACTTGTGAGGAGTGACAGCTCAGTGGAGTCACTCACGTCACAGGACCAGCTTAGGGACCTTGGTGTGAGGAGCCCAGGACGGAGGCCCGGCTCCCAGGTGTCTGCTGAGACAGCCATGCCTGGGCCTGTTTCACTCCGTAACACCTGCCCTAGGCCAGGCCCCATCCCAACCCCAAAGACCTGATTCAGGCTCCCAGGCTGTGCAACAGAGCGGGATTTCTGAAGTCTCCTCCCACGGACTGTGCACTCAATACACCCAGCTTCAAGCTGTACAAATGTGTCTTCCTGACAGGGACAGCACATGCTGTCACGTAGGTGGACTGGGCAGGTCTGCCAGGGCATGGGTGGGTAGGTGAGCAGGGGAGAGGAGCAGCCCCAGCTCCAGGCAGGCCTGTCCCACAGACCCAGGATCATCAGCCTGATCTGCTGCAGCTCCTCCACTCCCCGCTTTTTTAAAGCCACACACCTCATTCTCACTGAGAACTGCTACTCCGAGGGTGGTCAGAACCGAAGTTTCAAGCTGGCTGAACAGAGGGTCATAGACCCAGCAGTGATGTCTAGGGATCTGGAGGGGGAAAAAAAGAGTTAACTTCTGCCCGAGCATCCATGCTTGCACAGTTTGCATGTCCAGGGGAGGAGGGGAGAGGGGGAGGCCAGGTTTACCTGGCACCGTTCCAGCAGGAGGAGCAGAAACACCAGCTGTGTGCGGGCTGTGATGCAGGAGGCGAAGTTCCCCAGCCCATAGCAAACACACTGCACCAGGCAGGCACCTGAGGCCAGGCTCCCTCCTGGGTGGCAGCCAGCTGCCCTGTCTGAGTCGGCTGGTGGTGAGTGAAGACACAGGCTTTCAAGGGTTTCCGGAAGGTTCCCCACTGGTGCCTTTTGTTGCAGCTGCTTTGTAAGACACTGGATAATGGGTTCTGAAAAAGCAGGTTCCCAGAGACATTCAGAGGGTGCATTCTAACCCCAGGAGCCAATCACCCAGCAAAGAGGGCCACAGGCCCAGAGTGCAGCCCCAGCCTCAGTTTCCATTTAAAACCAATCTTAGATGTTAAGTCATTTAATAACACTCCTAGTACTTGTAGACTAGGCTCTGAAATGTCTTTGATAAGAATAGAGAACTCAATCACGCAAGAAATATGTGCTTCAAGAACAAACAACACTAAATCATCTCATACACACATAGGTTCTCTTGTTCCTCTTTTCATTGTACTGATTCTGAAATTTAGATGAACAAATCTGTATAAAAAACAAAAAATCCCATACATTCCAATGGTGAGGTTTGGATTTTCTCAAAGTAGCCAATCTGTCTTCTATCCCAATCTCCAAAATTTCTCTTCCTAGTATGACGGATATAGGCTTACAAAATTAAAGCAAAAAGAAAATGGCTCCTTACTGATCAGAGAATCCTTTTTGGAAGACAGTAAGATGATAGATGAAAAGTCACCAACGTTCACTTAATCCTTTCACCAGTGGCAATAAATTCGGATAGATCACACTAAGCTTGGCAAAAGCTTTGTGCAAAAGGTAGCTCACAGCAATTATTCATAACTAAAAGGGAAATGCCTTTTCAACAGAAAGGAGGACTAAAGTGTGTTCTCTGCATGCTAAATACTCTACAAACACAAGAAAAGTCCACTCAGGGAAAAGTGGCCAGAGGAAAGTTTTAGCAGAAACAATGACAGCATTTCTTGCCTCTGTAGCAGGCAAACACTGTTGTAAGCATGTAACCTCATTTCATTCACAAAATTACACTAGGGTGTATGCATGCCATGACCCCCACTCCACAGGTGGGCTATTGGGTCAGCTTTAGTTCAGGGCCAGGAATCAGCCTCAGAACCAAAGCACATGCAGTGAAGCATGGTGTTCTTAGATGAAGACAGTACTCCTTTCTCCACCTATATATCCAGGCCCTCCTCCCTCCCATGCCCTCAGCCAGGCAGCACCCACCTACTGCTGAACTCCAGAAATCAGAGACAAGCAGCTCATTCCTGTGGAGAAAAACATAGCAAGATCATCTCCCACTCGTTTCACAGCTGCCCTGCCCACCACCAGTTGAGAGCCTGAGAATGGCATGATGTACCACCTGACACAGGGCTCGCCCTTCCTGCATGACGGGAGGAAGTACATGAGCATGGCTACTCTTGAGGAGTCAGAAAGGGCCTTCTGCAGGAGGCCCTGGGTTCCCACGGATGGGTCTGGTTTAACAGGGCCTCACTAGTGCACAAAACCCGCAGAGTCAAGGGTGGTTTAGGATCCGGACTTTCTAGCCTCAGTTTCCTCACCAGAATGAGGGAAGCACTGTACCTACCATGCAGTGACAGGGCACGTTAAGTGGATTAATATGGCACACATAGCAGGTACTAAAAATGACTTTTGGTTGTTAGAAATAATTCGAAGAGGGGCTGGAGGCATGGCTCAGGTGGTAGAGTGTCAAGAGTCTGAATCCTGGCCTGAGACAAAATACAACAATTCTAGAGAAAAGCAAAACGAGAAACAAAATGAAGGGTTTGGGCTTTCTTTATTCAAGTCGACTGATTTCCACAAGTCCAGAGCAAAACAAACTCAGCAGCGAATTGAGTCGAACAGGATTTGAACTCGGGCAGTGTCCAGGAGGCTCAGAGGCTGCCCACATTCTTAAGGGGGTAAAGGAGTCCAATATCCATGGGAGGGCTCTGGAAACTCACGTCTGCATAGCAAAGTGCTGGGCATCCTTTGTCCAGTGCAGTGGTGACTACAGCCCATGGGAGCTCTGGGTGGGAAATACTAATGTCAAGGGAATGTGGAGAGTTGCCTTTTCTGGGTGAGCCAGGAATTCCTTTCTACAGGTGACCCTTGGGTCATCACCGCCTCATGATTCTACTTCCAGAGATGAGGAGCCCATAAAGAAGCTAATTCCTTCCCCTTGGGGAGGTCCTGCAGACATCTGATCTGATGTCAACTAGTGTCCTGGGGCTTGAACTAAGGGCCTGGATGCTGTCCCTGAGCTGCTTTTGCTCAAGGCTAGCATCAACCACTCAGGCCACAGCTCCACTTCTGGCTTATTTGGTAATTCAGTGGTGATAAGACTCTGACTGGCTTTCTAGTCCTGGCTTCCAACAGTGATTCTCAGATCTCCACCTCTTAAGTAGCTAGGATTACAGGCGTGAACTACAGGTGCCCAGCTAAAGCTGTTCATGTAATGAGCTTGACTCGAACTGCAGGGAAATAAAGGTAAGAATTCAACATAACGACAGTCTAGGTAACACTGACGGGGTGCTTCCTTTGTGGAGAATGGATGAAAAGTCCAGAATGGGAAGCCGGGCCTGCGTCTGACATCCGGTTCCACACTTTACCGTAGTCGGATCCCTTTGGCTTGCGTGAGCCAGGCCCCGGGCGGCGGTCAGTAGCCACGTGCTCACACGGCCCTTCGGGGTGGACGATCCCGATGAACCGACTTCGGGGCTCGGCAGCGAGCGCGCTGGCGCCAGGGCTCGGTTTCCGTCGGCGGACCGTGCGATGCTCGTGTTCCCCTCCCCAGCTCCCCCTGCCACAGCGGGGAGCGGCAGCCCGGGCCCGCGAGGCGCTCGCCACCTCCGTGGAGCCGCACAGCCGGCCTGCGGCCCGGCCCCGCCGCCCGCGGGGGCCCGAGGCTCGGCGCCGCCCCTCTCCCCGCCCGCACTCACTCGGCCTCCCCGAGGCGCCGAAGCACGGCTCCGCAGTCCGCCTCCGCGCCTCCTCCGGCTTCCGCGGCCCTCCGCCGCCGCGCCGCCGAGCGAGGCCGCCCCCGCGGAGCCACCGCCCGCCAGGCGTCCGGCTCGGCCGCCGCCGCCATCGGCCTCTGACGTCCCCAGGCCGCGCCGTCGCGGGGGGCGGGGAAACGGCGCGGCCTGGCGTCATCGCCCTGCGCCGGCTCTCCGAGGCCCCCCCCCCAGGGGGGCGGGACTGCGCGTGACCTCCGACCTCCGGCTTCGGCCCCGCGCTCGCGGACCGCGCGGGCGTCGCGGCGCCGCCCGAGCTCCAGGTCCGGAGGCCCGTCGTCGCTGCCAGGCTGTTCCGGGGGGTGTCGGGGGGGGGCTCGGGGACGCCGCGGGCGGGACCCGCCTGCCCCGGGCCTGGACGCGGAGGCCCGGGGGCCGCGCCCGCCCCTTCCCGCCGCCGCCGCCGCCCAGCCCCCGGCCCGCGCGCTCCCCTTTGCCTGGGCCGCCCCCCGGGTGGGTGGCTGTCGCGTCCTGGCCTGCCCGAGCCTCTCCTAGCCCCGCCCGGATCCCCTCCCGGCCCTCGAGTTAAAGGTGGGGCCGGCAGGCGGGACGGGGCCGCGGGCCTTGGGCATCCGGGGCCTGAGACGCCTCCTTCCCCACGGGTGCCCGGACGCGTTGCTCAGCGTGCAGCGAGCGTGGCCGGGGAGCGGGGCATCGCCCGGGAGCCAGAGCTGAGGACAGACCGAGGGGTTGGGGAGCCTCAGAGTGCACCCAGGCCCTCCCTGCCCCGCAGCAGAACCGTCTGCCCCTTGAGGACGCTCCTGTGGAGTGGATGGCAGTAGGAATACAGATCGGGTTGTCACCCGAGGGAGGATTAAACCTTGTTTTCCTGCAGATTTATCCAGACCAATGAGTGGCGGTCCCAGGGAGGCTTTTCGGCGAGCGGGTGGATGGCCTTACCGCCCGGAACTGCAACTCTTGTCTCTGCAGTTCCCTTCCAGGGCTGTCAAGGTAGCTATCTTTATTGACTGGGAAAATTCCACGTAGGAGGATTAGTCCCCTTCTGACACGAAATTCCATGCTAACGCTGAGTTGTCCCTCTTGTGGTTTTTGAAAGCTTTCTTTAGGGCTGGGTGCCCCTGGCTCTTGGCTCAGGTGTGAGGATCGAAATTCTGGGAGCCAGCCTGGGGCTGTAAAGTCTATGAGACTCTTACTTCCAATTAACCACGAAAAAGCCAGAAGTAGAGCTGGAGCTCAAATGGAGCACCAGCCCATGAGCAAAAAAGTTGAGGGACAGTGCGTAGGCCCTGAGTTCAAGCCTCAATCCCAGAATAAAACAAAAAATAATAAGAGCTCTAGACCTTATACTTGCTCTGCTGGCACTAGAGCTGCACTTCTAGCCTGGATTTTTGTTGTTGATTAATTGGAGATTGAGTCTTACAGACTGGCTGGCTTTAAATTGTGATTTCCCCCAGACCTCAGCCTCTTGAGCTAAGTCTACTAGCATGATCCATCAGCACCCAAGTTTCTGCTTTTTGAAAATTTGCTCAGCTCTGAAGTTCTGGGTGTCCAGATTATTTTTTTTTTTTCCTGTTGTGGGGCCTGAACTCTGGGCCTGGGTGCTGTCCCTCAGCTCTTCAGCTCAAGGCTAGTGCTCTACCACTTGAGCCACAGCGCCACTTCCAGCTTTTTCTGCTTATGTGATGCTGAGGAATTGAACCGAGGGCCTTATGCCTTCAAGGCAAGCACTCTACCATGAAGCCACCTTCCCAGCCCCCTCCAGATTATTTTTGAGCCGTCAAGCGACAATTACTTTGGGTCCCATTGTTGCTACTTTACTGGCCACTTTACTGGAACCTGACCTTTTTACCCAGTTCTTTTCCACATAATAATTTCATTTTCTGGTCACGTACTTACTATAACTGTTGAAGGAACAAAGGAACATAGTTTGAAGTTTCTGCTGCCCTTTTAAAAATTTTAGAACAATTTACACCATTATAGAAAGCTCCTCTGAGACATAGCCTTTACTTAATCCTGCTGGGATCACATGGTATTTTGTGGGTTTCTGAAATAGTCTGTTCTTTGTGTTTACTTCAGAGCCAAGGCACTTATATTTGAACTGGAAATGTCAGAACCTTTGAAAGAACCTTGGAGATGTCTTTGAACTAGACAAGTTCAGAATCCTATCAGAAAGCCGCTTCTGCCTAGTCTGCCTTTCTCCTGTGGGGTTCTCCGGGAGAGGAGCTTGGGATCAGCATGTGGGCAGCCATGCTGAAACTCCTAAATCTCAACTGGTGCATTTGACTTCTCCAGTGGGTCTAGTCCATTCCCTCCCTGAGTTCTAATATGCTCGCACAGAAGGGAAATAGCACTTTCATGCTGAATGGAAAGCCTGCAAGTGGCAGTGGTTAACAGAAAACAACAAAGCTGCCACGCCCACATCCTCTGGTTTGGGGATCCGGCTGGGTGGAAGAGAAAGCAGAAGAGGTGAAGAGGATGAAGCTGGCCTGAGGGTAGATGGCCACCTCCACCTCTGCAGGGACAAAGTCGGCCTCTTGGTGAGTAGCAGGGCCCCTGGTGGGTAGCTCTCCCTGGCTGCTGGATGGGTCATTCGCGTGGGGCTGCACGCCAGTAATCTCTGCACTAAGGTAAAGGCAGGAAGATCTTAAGTGTGAGGCTAGTTTGTCTCAAAACAGAACTGGGAAATAACAGTAATCCTCAGGCAAGTTGTCATGATTTTATTAAAGGATCTTGGTTTAAAGCTAGCCTGGACAGGGAAGTCTGTGAGACTCTTAACTTCTAATTAACTACCAAAAAGTCAGAAATGGAACTGTGGCTCAAATGACAGAGTGCCAGCCTTGAGCACCAAAGTTCAGGGAGAGCTCATAGGCCCTCAGTTCAAGCCCCAGGACTGGTACAGCGTAAGAAAGATCAAGAGGAGGTGGGAGGGGAGGAAGGAAGGAGAGAGAAAGAAAGCCGGTCAGCCATTTTCCTTGGAGCAGTCCCACGGAGTATGGGCACTACGCCACTCCAGAGCCGGTGCAGCAACCTTGCAAGCCTGGGCTTGGTCCCCTTTGCCCAGACTTCTTTCAGGGGATGATTACACTGCAGGAAGAAGTTAGGCCAGTCTAGCAATGCCTGCCTGAGCTGCCTGAGACTCTGCTCCCTGCTCATCCTCACATGGGCCAATCCTTTCTCCTGGTTAACTTCTACATCACCAGAGAAGGTGCCATAGACTAGACTCAGCAGGGCTTAGTGACTGACTTTATAGATGCAAGTCAGCCGGTCTTCTTTTGCCTGCCTAGAAGGGCGCAGGGGCTTCCCCTAGGAACTAGGAAGGGGGAAGAGGGAAGGGAGGGGAGCCCTTTACATGTGCCTGGCCGTACAATGAGTTGCACCTCTGGCCTTAGACTTTGAGGAAGTGGATCCTGCTGGAGGTGGTGCTTGTCACTAGGAAGCTGAGGTGGGAGGGGTGGGCAGGGCACAAATCCACTTGAACATGATGCCAGTGACAGAGTGGTCCCAGTGCTGTCTCCCTACCCCTACTGTATGCTGCTGCCTGAGCCTTATGCTTTTGGAGAGTGAAATGGAATATATTTAACGAGAAACTGAGTATTAGTGATTATCATTGTACCGGAGTGTGGCCTGTAAGAAGTCTAGGAAGGTAGATGTAGTGGTGCATGCCTGTAATCAGTCCCAGCACCTGGGAGGTGGAGGTAGCAGGATGGAGAATTTGAGGCAGCCTGGAAATACAGTGAGCCCCGGTCTCAAACAATAAGGTGAAAAGGTCTTGAGAAACAAAGGAGGGAAGTCAGGAGGAAGATTCCTCTAGGAAACACAGTGCTGGCCAAGGGAAGCGAGGGCTCGCTGAGAAGCCTGTCTGAGTGATGCTTAGAGCCTAGAAAGGTCTTGATGTTCAGAGAAGAGTTTGGTGTTTCCCTGTAAACTCTGAAAAACCCATCTCCCCCCCTCCCCACTATTGACTCAGTACCCTTCATTGACATCGCATGTGTGGCTGGAGGTGGGGCTCCAGGGGCAGGGCCTTTTGGGGGCTCATGTTTGAACCCCAGTGTGCCTGGACAGACAGCAGAGCCCATTGCCCTCCATGAAGGGCCACATGAGAGCAGGGGTTCCTGCTGGATGGCAGGTGCGGCACCCCCAGTGCCAGCAGCTGCGAGGAGCACAGCTGACGGGTGGCCGCCCTCCTTATCAGAGCTGAGGGACGCACACCAGGCCACGCAGCTGCGAGGCGAAGTTGACGTTCCGACATTTCTCCTGCAGCCGGAAGAGGCGGGCTTTCCATCTGCCTCTCCTGCACTACGGAGCCGGGTTGTCTAGTGGTGGCTCCCGGTTTCTCTCCCAGCCCTCCAGGAGGCTCGCACCCGGAGCCCTGCGGGGTGAGGCTGCTGTCCTTGGCTCAGGGATCATGGCTCCATTCTGCTCTCTTGCCAGGTGGAATTATTTTCTTCTTTATGATGGCTCCAAGGTAAAGGAGGAAGGCGACCCAACCAGAGCTGGTATTTGCTATTTTTATCCATCTCAGGTAAGCTGCAGCAGGCTAAGATTTACACTGGGCAGCTGGACTTAGCTGTACCAGGTGCTCTACCCTGCTTTGCTGTGCTGAGGCCAGAGCTTGCTTCTTGGCTTCCTCTTAAGTCCTGCCCCCTCCCCCTTGTCCAGCTCTTCTGCCACATGAAGCTTTTTTTTTTTTTTGGGTCCGGTCGTGAGGCCTGAACTCTGGGCCTGGGCACTTGCACTCTACCACTTGAGCCACAGCGCCTCTTCCAGCTTTTATTCTTTTTTGCTTATGTGGTGCTGAGGAATCAAACCCAGGGCCTCAGGCATGCAAGGCAAGTTCTCTACCACTGAGCCACCTTCCCAGCCCCTGCCATATGAAGTTTTGATCAGCTTGTTTTAAAAAGGGTTCTTTGAAACATACACTAAGGTACTGAGGAGAATAAGCCATACCTAGCTTCAGCACTTACAGCACGTCACCAACTTGACAGGAAACACCCCCTCCACACACACACACCCCTGTGCTGTCTTCTGGAGTAATTTGAAACAGACTCAGAACTTTGGGGTATCTTATCAATGTGTATCCAGTAATGGAAAAGGACTGTAAAGACCGCCACACATGAACTGTGTGTTAATTTTGCCCTGTTATCTTAAGATGAATTGGGTCTCTTGGCCCGCTCCCATCTCTGGGTCCCTCCCTCCTTCTTTCCCCTACTTGTTCTTTGTCTTTTCTAATCTGAGTCCAAACAATATTCTCTACATTTTCTACTTGGTTGTTTTATACTTACATCCCTTTATAACAGTCCTCACCATCCCCTCCCCTTCCCTCTCCCCCCCCTCCAGTTCCATGGAGTTGTGGCATCATTTCCTATCTTCTGATCCCGTGCAGTTAGCTGTGGGCCAGCGCTGTGGCCGGGCTACAGTTGCAGTCTTTCAGGAAGGTGACCCATGGCCTCGCTGTGGCGTCACGTTACGTCACAGCTGGCTGTTCAGTGGCTCCAAGAAGGCTGGGATGTGTTAGGAATCTAGGTGCCCTCCTTCTCTGCCCCCCCCCCCCCCCCCCCCCCCCCCCCCCCGTGTGATGGCTGGGATTAGCCCAGATGCCTGGTCCCTCTGTGCATGGCTCCTGTGGTGCCCAGGCATGTGCCCCTCGCCGTCGCAGCACGGAGCCATGTACAGTCATGTCCGGTGCTCATGGTGGAGGTCCCGCCAGGCTTGGCAAGCCCACAGAAGGCCTGAGGTGGGAGGTTGAGGCGTGGGCTCCACTATGTATTCTTACTGGGATTTTTTTTATTCCTGCCTCCTGGGCCTTATAAACACAGCAACAGGCTAGATTTGGCCTGTGGCTTCTGTTTGTTCAGGACCTGTGTCTGGAAACCATCCCTCTCCCTGCAGACACTGCTGGAACAGCAGGAGCTGCTGTGTGGCCAGATTGCGGGCGTGGTGCGCTGCGTCTCCCACATCTCCGGCTCCGCCCCCGCCCTCATCCACCTGCGCAAGCTCAAGTTTGCCATCAGGGTTCACGGAGATTACCTGTGGGTGAGTGAGCGGGTAGGACAGGTGCCAGGTGTTGGGGTGGTCTGTGGGCCCACATTTGGACTGTTGCCCACAGGGCTGTGACACTGTACAGGTGCGGTGTCATGGGATGCCCCGCTCCGCCTGTGGACATCTCTTTTCTTTATTCGGTGGTAGGGCCTCAAGCATGTAAGCAAGCTACACTCAGCAGCTTGCTTTTCTTTGGTGAGCAGACATTTTTGACATTAGTGCTGTGTAACCCGTGTTTTGTGTTCAGTGCTCTCTGTGTCCTAAGGAACCATGCCTACCACTTGGCTCTTCTTTTTGTTGTTGTTTCAGTAAAAGTTGTGTAGTTTTTTTTTAAAAACATATCTTTATTATCTTTAAGTAGTTGTATGAAGAAGTTGCCATTGCAACAAAGCAGTTTATGGACACAATGCATCTTAATCAGTGTCACTGCTTTTATCATTTGTATAGTTTTTGTTTTCAGTCTGAGTCATAGGGTCAAGTGTCAATGGCTCACACCTGTAATCCTAGCTATTCAGGAGGCTGAGATCTGAGAATCAAGGTCCAAAGTTAGTCTGGGAAGGAAAATCCATGAGAGACTATCTCCAATGAACTACTAAACAGATGGAAATGATGCTGTGGCTCAAAGTGGTAGAGCACTAGCCTTGAGCACAAAAGTTCAGGGACAGTGCCAAGACCTTGAGGTCAAGCCCCAGGACCACTTGCACCATAAATTAATTAAAAAAATAGGTAAATGGCCAGGCACTGGTGGCTCACACCTGTAATCCTAGCTACTTAGGAGGCTGAGATCTGAGGATCACGATTCAAAGCCAGCCTGGGCAGGAAAGTCCGTGAGACTCTGATCTCCAATAAACCACTAGAAAACGGGAAGTGGCTCTGTGGCTCAAGAGGTAGAATGCTCGCCTTGAGCTGAAGAGCTGAGGGACAGCGCCCAGGCCCAGAGTTTAAGCCCCGCAACCTACCCGCCCCCCCCCCCCCCAAAAATAGGTAAATAAATCTAGGTCCTAGATCAAATTTGGATTAATATTTATGAGTGTGCACTGGTTTTGCCAGTACTGATATGGATAACCGTCCCCTGGCCTTGTTAATGCGGTTTATTATTTTTTAACAATATTTTCTTTTTAAAACTTTATTTATTTATTTATTTTGGGTCCGGTCTGGGGCCTGAACTCTGGGCCTGGGCGCTGTCCCTCAGCTCTTCAGCTCAAGGCTAGCGCTCTACCACTTGAGCCACAGCGCCACTTCCGGCTTTTTTCTTTTTGATTATGTGGTGCTGAGGAATCGAACCCAGGGCCTCAGGCATACAAGGCAAGCGCTCTACCACTGAGCCACCTTCCCAGCCCAACTTCATTTGTTTTTTTATGTGGTGCAAGGGAATCAAACACAGGGTCTCATGCATGCTAGGTGAGCACTCTACCACTAAGCCGCATCCCCAGCCTGTGGATGCTGTTTGTCACTGGCCAGATGGGTTTAGGGCCTGAGCTCCTCCCTGGTCTGGAAGGCTCTGTGTGAGCTCTGCAGTGCCTTCATTCTTGTGGCCTTACCATTTTCTTGAATCCAGTAGTAGAAGTCCTCTGGTCTTGGTTGTTTCCAGGAAAGCTCTCCCTCCTTTGCCTCCTTTGCCTTTGCTCTGTGCACTCAGCGGTGGGTTTCTGCCAGGGGTGGGGCACGTCTGCCTGTGTGCCGCCGCGTGTGGCCTTGGAAATCATTTGTACATAACGGGACAAGGACAGACCGTTTGCTTCTCTGCCCACAGCCATCTGCCTGTACTGATAATTTTGTATGGTCGGTGATGATGTTATAAATATCCAAATGGCAGAAAAAAAGCTCCCCACCCCTGCAAGCTGGTGGGTTGGTGATTGGATCTGTCTTCGGCCACAGGCCGGCTGGGGGAAGGGGATGCTTCCTGTGTGGCTGGTGTCAGTGAGCACAGTCCTGTCCTCTGGTCAGGCAGCAGGGCTGTGTGCTTTTGTTATGTCTGCTGGTTCCCTTAGGGCAGATTCTGAGGGTTTGCCAGAGCTCACTCTCTACCTCTGCAAGTATTTGCCATTTGTAATGAGGGCCCTAGGCTCTACCCTGGGAGGTTAGATCTGGTGGTTTACTCAGCAGCTGCCCGCAGTGCCTTCTCTGGCTGTGCACAGTTTGATGAAACCTCACTTACACATGCATTATCCAGCCCACACGGTACACAGAGGCCAGTGTTGGCCGTGGTCTGTGGACCAGGCATCATGGAGGAGTCCTGCAGGAGAGGGTGACCTGGGGAATGAGCAGGTTGGCCCGGGTAGAGGGATAGACAGAACCTGTTCTCTGGGGACAGCAGTGCGACTGCAGGAGGCCCGGGCTCAGATGGGTTTTGGTGGGCTCCTGGCATCTGCAGAGGCTGGGGTGCTGGGCCTGCTCTCAGCAAGAGAAGCACCTGTCCTCCCGTGTCCCCTCATCAGGCTCTGGGCTGTGCCGTGGAGCTTCCCGACAGCAGCTGCAGGCGTTTTTTGGACCAGCTCATTGGCTTCTTTCATTTCTACACTGGCCCCGTGGCCCTGGCTTACAAGGTATGTGTGCTGTGGTGCAGGGTCCTGTGGGCCTGTTTAGCAAGCCGGCATGGCCGGGAGGCAGCGGCCTTTCCCCAGCAAAGGTGGGACACCGGTGGGAGCCGGGCGTGACCCGCGTGGGGATAAGGACAGGCTTCCTGCAGGGCTGTCTTCCCAAGTGAGGAATGCCTTCGGGAGCCCCTTTGCCAAAGTCTGTGCCCCCAGATGCCAGGTGCCACCCTGGGCTGTTGGTGTTGCAGACGCGATCGAGGGAGGAGCTGGCCGCGCAGTGGGACGCCTTCATTGAGCGAGTCCTGAGCAACACCACGGAGCTGCATAAGATATTTGACTCTCTCTGGAACCTCGACCAGACCAAGGTGACCCCTGCCTCTGCGCCCGTGCTGTGCCGGGGCGGAGCTGCGTACGAGCGTGGCATCCCCGCAGCTTGGGGATTGAGGACGAGGCAAGCATGGCCTCCAGAGCTGCTTTGCTGGGCAGCAGGAGGCTGCGTCTCAAGCGCCACCAAGCCACCATTTAGGAAAGGGGCCACTAGGCCGCCTCTGCAGGTTGAGCTACGCCACTCCTGTCCTCTGCCCTCCTGGGGCGCCATCTGTCTAGCTGGCTCTCAGGTTGGCAGTCTCTAAGAGGGCCCGGAAGGGCTTGTCTGAGGCGTTGTGCTCACACTGGCCCTCAGTGACGCTGCCCGTGCGGCTGCCATGTGTGCCATGGGCACACACTCCTCGTCTCACTCGTAAGCAGTGTGTGACTGGTGTGCAGGGCACAACTCTGCTAGGCCAGCCAAGGACTCTCCACTCCTGTCCTGTTGGGAGAGTCTGGTGACAGTGACTATAGCGGAGGCCGTTGAGGGGGGCTGGTGGGGCTGCACTCTGTCGAGGCCAGGAGAAGGGAGTAAATGGAACTTCGCACCAGGCAGGCGCTCTGGGGCTCTGTTCCTCCTACACTGAGCGCTGGTGGCCCAGCAGAGCTCCCGATGGGGTGCAGGTGCTTGTGTTCAGCTTTAGAGTCTTGTGACTCCTCATGAGACCCAGTGGAAGGCTGGAGCAGGCTGGCGTTTCTGGGCTGTGGGACCTGTGTACATGCTGGTTCCACCTGCTGTGCCCCTGGGGACTGGGCTGCAGAGGGCAGTGGTTCCCCCACCCCCAGGGCCTTGGTGTGGGCGTTCTCTCCCCCTCTGCTGCCCTCTCCTGTCAGCGCTGACAGCCGGTGCTCTAGGCCATCTGCTTTGTCCCCAGAGAGTAGCCGGATGCCACATTCACAGGCCTTTGTGCCAAGAATCTGGCACTTGGCTATGTCCTGATGGTCGTGCTGTGGGACGCCTTCTCCTCACTCCAGGTTTGGGGTGGGGAGCTGCCTGTGGGCAGGACCACCACCCCTTTTCTGAGCGTGCCCATGGGGCTCTGCACTCTCCCTGCACAGGTAGAGCCCCTGCTGTTACTGAAGGCCACACTCATTCTGCAGACCTGCCAGCGCGCACCTCACATCCTGGCCGGCTGTGTCCTCTACCGGGGGCTGTGAGTCATGCCGCAGGGGCTGGGAGGGGCAGGACTTGGGGGCTGCAGCTCAGCCTCTGGCTGCTTGCTTGTAGATGCCGGGATGGTGGGGCCGGGCTGGGGTTCAGTGTCTGGCTACTGTGTGCAGTACTGGCTACTGGCTACTGTGCGTGCAGGCTGTTTGGCCACAGTCATGGCTTAGGGCACAGAAGGTACCAGAAGTTGTCATATTGGAGTGGGCTGGGGTAGAAGAGGGACCTTGTAGTTCTCAGAGCGTCCATGTACAAATGCCAGCGGCAGCACATGAGCAGAGGGCTAGCAAGCCTGCATGGGGCACCTTCCGTCGGCCTCCCACTGCCCTGTGAAAGTGAGCTGCTGCAGCTCTTTGGCATCACGAGGATAGGCCCTGAAGATGCTGGGGTTTCCGCCGTGTGTGTGTGTGTGTGTGTGTGTGTGTGTGTGTGTGTGTGTGTGTGTGTGTGTGTGTGCACTCAGCGTTGTCCCTGGAAAGATATTCATAGGCAGTCCCCTGTTGGTCCAGCCTGGCTAAGGGGTTTGGGCCTGGGAACTGTCCACAGGGACTGTCAAGGGCCTCCTATGAGCCTGTGCCAGCTGGAACTGGAAGCAGCCAGGGCCTCTTGATAGCAGAAATAGCCACCCCCCCCTCCTTTTAAGCTTGGAGGTCCCCTGTTCATGGAGTTGTCCTTGTTTCTGATCCCTAGGACCGTGAGCACCCAGCTTCCACCCTCCCTCACCGCCAAGGTCCTGCTTCGCCAGTCCACACCTGGGAACCAGGTACCCGCGCGCCAGTCACAGAGCACGTGCTGGGCATGGTGGGAACATGTCTCCCAAACCTTGTCGGCACCCTCATCTGCCCGCGGGGTCTTACTGCACTCCCAGGCAAGATGGAAGCGTATTTCCTTGGGCTGGGTAACTGCTGCTTCGGGCCGGGTGCATTTCCACCCTGGGACGCCGTGGTTTCTTTGGTGGCTCTAAGGGTTGACGTCAGGGCCTCACGTTCGCTAGGCAGGTGCACCGTTGCCCAGCCACTCCCCCAGGCCTTTTGCTTTACCTTACGTTTCAGATGGGGTGGCACATTCTTCTCCAGATCCTTGAATGCATGCTTCTCATGCAGCTGAGATTACAGTAAATGCCACGGTACCCAGCTTGTTTATTGTTTTTGTTTGCTTTGTTGTGTTTTTTTTTTGTCAGTCCTGGGGCTTGAACTCGGGGCCTGGGTGCTGTGCCTGAGCTCTTTTGTTCAAGGCTAGCGCTCTACCACTTGGAGCCACAATGCCACTTCCCAGCTTGTGTTTTGAGATAAGGTCATGCTAACTTTTCGCCTAGGCTGACCTTGTGCTTCAATTCTCTCTGCCTGAGTTGTTGCAAGTACAGGTGTGAGCCACATGCTGGCCTGAGAGGTCATGTTTTTCTGGCACATGGGCAGGGCAGAGCTTGAAGACAGGGCTCCCTACCTGTTTCACCCACTGCTTTGCCTCTGCAGCGTTGTGAGGCTGTGTGGTTGCATGCCACACAGCTTTGTCCTGCAGGTGAAGTCTCTTCGCCCCCTGCTGGTGGGGTCTGGCAGGACGGCCTTTCGGGTCCCCTTTCCTCTCACTGGAAATCTCCACTAAGACAATACTGACTGCCGGAAAAGATGTAGCTTCAAACCTGCTAAGTCAGATAAACAGCTGTGCAGGGTAGGCTTGGCAAGCACTGGACTGTGCGCCAGCTGCCCACAGGGAACACTTCATGGACCTGCTAATAAGCATGTGTGGGGCCAAGGCCAGGGGCTGGGTAGACTGAGATTATATACCTACTTGGGAGACAGAGATGTGCAGGATTGTGGTTCAAGTCCAGCCTGGGCAGCAAGTATGCAAGGCCCCTTCGAAGGGCTGGGCAAGGTGGTACACACCCTTCTTTCCAGCTGTGGCAGAAAGTGTAAACTGTAGGCCACCTAGGGCAGAAGGCAATACCCCATCTCAGAAAAAACAACATAAAAACAGTGCAAAAGGACTGGGAACATGGCTCACATGTTTGACTTCAAACCACAGGACCACCAAAACCTCTGCAGATGGGCTGTCACTATAGCTCAGTGGCAAAAGAGTAGCCAGGGATATTCTGGGGAGTCTGTTGCACGTTGTTGCTTTGGGCAGAAGTGTTACCACTCACATGTTTCGAAAGTACAAAAAGGCAGACAGAAAAGAGAAAAGCATTCACATGAACAACATCATAGTTTGCAGTTGAATATTATTTTTTTTTAAATTTTAAGGAAGCCAGGCGCTGGTGGCTCACGCCTGTAATCCTAGCTACTCAGGAGGCTGAGATCTGAGGATCGCGGTTCAAAGCCAGCCCGGGCAGGAGAGACCGTGAGACTCCTATCTCCAATAAACCATCAGAAAACCGGAAGTGGCGCTGTAGCTCAAGTGGTAGAGCGCTCGCCTTGAGCTGAAGAGCTGAGGGACAACGCCCAGGCCCAGAGTTCAAGCCCCACGACCACAAAAAAAAAAAAAATTTTTTTAAGGAGTGGTGAATGCTGGTGGCTTACACCTATTATCCTAGCTACTCAGGAGGCTGAGGTCTCAGGATGCTGGTTCATATTCAGCCGTGGCAGGAAAGTCAGTGAGACGCTTGTCTTTAATTAAACACCAAAAAAGCTGTAAGTAGAGCTGTGGCGCAAGTTGTAGAGTGCTAGCCTTGAGCACAAAAGAAGCTCAGGGACAGCACCCAGGCCTAGAATTGAAGCTCTAGGACTAATACACAGACAAAACAAAACTTTGGCCTGGAGGAGTAGATGTCTAGTAGTAACGAAAGTGTGGCTTCTTGAAATGGTTGAGAAAAAAAGGCCTGGGAATGGGAGAGTGGTTTTCTGTGTTGTGGTTGGTTCTGGTAGGCCCCTTGGGAGCCTACAAATGGTGGTAAAGTTTCTTTTTTCCCTTGGCCATAAAGCAGAATGAGTGAGAAATGGGGTCCAGCCATGAGGGGCCTGGTCCTGTGGGAGTCAGGCGGTGCCCCAGCGGGGGATCCCGGGGCAGGTGTATGTGTGGCCACTGGAGCTTCCCAAAGGGAGAAGGCCGCACAGGTCTGCACCCAAGCTCAAGACAGGCCAGGTGGGTAGGCTCTGCCTCTCCCGCCGCTAGGAGCCAGCAGCTTGGGGAGCATTGCTCCCTGGGGTTGGGACAAGCTCCCTGGTTGTGGCTGAGTCCTGTGAGCAGAACCATGGTGTTTGGGTCAAGTTCAGATCATGGTGCCCAGTGCCAGCTGGTGCCTGTGTGTGTGTGTGTGCTTGTTTGCAGAACCCGCCTGCAGCCGGAGCCGCCCCGCAGGAGGCGGGTGAGTGCGTGATGCGGGTGGCCTTGGAGAGCGGCTCTGTCATGCTGCCTGGCGAGGGCCGAGCCAGCTGATGGCTGGCAGGGCTCGGGTGTGTCTCCCCTGCCTGGGAGGGCATCACCCGTTGGATTCCTAATTGCCAGACTTGATGCTGCCACACCCTCCCGCCTCCTGCGTTCACATCCCCCAACGTGGCGCTGTGCAGAGCAGTTCCAGGGGCCGGGCTGGGCTGGGAAGAACAGGGAGCAGCCACATGCTGCAGGGTGTGGCCGTGTCCACAGGTGGGGCCGAGTGGGCTGGTCCCTTTTTTCCTAGCTCAGGTCTGGCTTTTTTACTGAGTGCCATTCAAGGTTCTGGCGCTGAGTCTCCCCGTCCTCCCAGCGCTGGGCTGAGCATGGCCCTCTGTTCTCTGGGGCCCAGCGGCTAGCCCTGCCCATGTTGCTTTGCAATTCCAGGAGTAGCATTGCCCCCCGGCGTCCGGATCACCCCGGTTTTCCTGACCGAAAAGGAGGCTGCCAGCCTCCGTGAGTTTGCAGTGCAGCGGACAGCCAGGTAGGTGGGTGGGTGAGCAGGCCCGGGCTGTGCCAGCGCGCCCTCAGTCCTGGACCTCAGTCCCCCCTCGCTTCCTGTCCGCAAGGCAGCACCTGCAGCTTGTGGGGTCGTCAGGGCTGAGGGGGCTTCTCCCTAGGCCTCTGCTTCCTCGGGCGAGAGGCTGCCAGCAGGCCCTCTAGTTCCCTCTGCTACATGGCAGTAGTGCGCGTGTGCTGGGAGGGCTGCTGCCGTGGGAGGCAAAGCCCTGGGGCCTTCGCTCCAGTGAGGCAGCACTGTGCGCGCTCATCCCCGGCACTGTGCCTTCCCTTTCTCCCCGGAGGAGCGTCCTGCAGCGGCTGACCTCCCTTCCTTGTCTGTTTGCCAGCTCTCCTTCGCCAGCCAGACTCCAGGAGGGCTTAGAGCCACATCCTCCCCGAAGCACCTCTGCCTCTGGAGAAGTCGCCATCAGGCATGTGGCGTCCACCGCCACCTCCGGGCCCGCATCCCCCCATGGAGCGTGGCCAGATGGCGGGGAGGAGGAGGGCCGCTTGCCTGGCCCTGGGCTGCACAGCACTGCCTGGAAACGGGACCCTGGCCGTGGATCCCTACAGGGGGAGCGGGGCTTGTCTGCAGTGTGTGATGCAGAAGCTCCGGGTTGCGGTGCCCTTCCGTCTGAGGGCAGCCCAGGCAGAGGTCCGTGCAGCGAGAACTGCGTGCACACCTGCGGCGGCCCTGCACTCGAGCCTCCCGAGGACACTGCCGGCACCTGCCATCTGTGTCCCACACCACCTGAGCCACTCACCCAGAACGGAGCCCGGGAGCAGTCTCCAGGCCCTCCTGGTGCCCATGGCCAAGACCCTTCCCCCAGGGGAGGGCAGACAGAAAATGAACTTTCCGCAGCCCCTGGTCCCCCATGCAGCTCAGCCTCTGCAGACACAGGTGACCCTAGCCTGACCCCAGCAGGGTCCCACGTGAGCCTCGTGCCAATGGCCCTGTACACTCACAGCGTCAAGGGGCTGGCGCTGTCCCTGCTGGCCGAGGAGCCACTGCTCAGAGACGATGTGGCCATCGAGGAGGTGGTGAGTGTCCCCAACCCCTCTCCTGGCCTCTGTGCAGCCTCTCTTGCCTCCTAGACATGAGGACAGGCTGGCTCAACCTTGGACCTGTGGCACAGCCTGGCTAGAGCCTCGTGTTTCTGCAGGGCTGGTGCAAAGCAGCCAGGTGTTGGTCTCTGTTCTCCCGCCTCCTGCAGGTTATGAGGCGTGGGCCTGGAAGGAGGGAGATGCTGGGACAGAGTCTTGCTTCATTCTCCAGCTGAGTGGCCTGGCCTGCAGTACGCCTCTCTAGGCCTCTGCTTCCTGGTCAATAGGGTGGCTCTGGGATCCCATTCCAGATGCCGCACGGCCATTAGGCTGCCTCGGTTCCCTGCCAGGGCAGTGCTGGCTGCCGTCTCTGCTGGAATGTGCTCTGTGGCAGTGTGCCACAGCCCAGTGGCAGTCCCTCTCCCCTCTGTGGCCAGCATCGCAGGGCTGTGGCCTGGAGCCATCTAACATCCCCATGGGCTCCAGACGGCTCTGAAGCCTCTCCAGCCCTTCCCTGCACACTGACCTTCTCCAGGCCGGGCCGCGCTGAGGATGGAGTTGCTATGGTAACAGCCTTGCCTCACTGGCAGGAGCCGCGCAGGAACAGCGGGTTGCAGTTGCTGCAGGGCATAGGCTGTCCTGGGGCTGGCTTGTTTTTCTCCTTAATCCATGTTATTTGAAGCCGGTCTTATTGGCGTGGAGGGCTGTGGCTTCCATAGACCAGCGGGTCACCTTGGAGTGTGGGGGGCGGAGGGGAGGCTGCAGGGCCTGTCCGTGCCGGAAGCAGGGAAGCAGGGAGTGGCGCTGGTCTCTGTCCCCTTCCCACAGGCCCCAAGCACCCAGCTGCGTTGTTCTGGCTCTCGGTGAAATCACTGTCAGAAGGGATGGTTGTCCACCCGACTGATGACAGCGGGGTTCTGGGGTTCTGGTTACAGCCTCAGGCTTCAGTTTCCCTGGTCCTGTTAGGCATAGTGTGTGCTGAAGGCCAGCGTCTAGATGGCTTAAATCCAGCTGTGCGCCTGTCACCTGGCCCCTACCCTGGGACAGCTGTGGGAGGAGCTCTGCACCTGTCCCCAGTACAAAAGCTCGGCCTGGCTGTAGTGGAAGCTGGCAGGCGCAGACCCAACGTGCATGTCCCCCTGTGCCAGCCCGGCCCCCGGGACTCAGTGTGTGGCCCACATGCTGCTGTGACAGCATCTGTGAGCTCATGTGTGCAGTGGGCATGGGCGCCAGGGGCTCCCATGTGCAGTGGGCATGTGGGCCAGAGACTGGTGTGGCGTGTGGGCGTGTGGGGCTGGAGGCTCGTGTGAAGCAGGCGTGGGCCTGGAGTGCACATGGGTGCCGGCTGCCCTGTCTGAAGAGCAGGAGAAGGGACTGCTCGGTTCAGCAGCGCAAAACCTTGTGGTGCCATGGGAGAGGTATGCTCCTGCCTTTCCACCTTCATCCGCCTAGCACATCCTTGATCAGCTTCCTGGAAGTCCTGCTGCTTTCTAAGGCCGTCCCTGCTGCAGGCTTCTGGAGCGCACGCCCTGGGAGGGGCCCAGCACCCCAGGTCATGCGGAGCAGCAGCCAGGATGGTCAGGGTCCAGTGGGCTGAGGGAGTGGGAGGCTTGGCTGGGATCAGCGCAGTGGCTGTTGTAAGGTCTGCCGGAGCCCCAGGGGATCCCCTGACCTCTGACCCTGGCCAGCAGGTCGGCTGCTGCTGCCCTGGGACATGTGCTGACCGGGCAGTGGGGGAGAGGCCTCAGGAGGTGATGTGGAAGGCGGGTCTTTGGCCTGCTTTCTCCATCTGGCGGGCTGTGCACCGCCCAGGGCCCTTGCCAGGGAGGGTGGACCAGACGTCAGGATCAGGGTCCTTGTGTTGCTGTCCTTTCTAGGGATGTTCTGGGGTCCCATTCCTCACAGAGACCCAGAAAGTGGTATTTCTGCTCTGCCCCGTGGCCCACTGTGCTGGGGGGGCTGTGGCTGGGCCCAGGAGCACCCCACAAGCACCCACAGAAGCTCACAGACTCCTTCTCCCCAGCCACGTGGAGGTGGTCTGCGAATGCACTTGCTTTCAGTACTGTGTGCTCAAGGGCCATTCCTCTTCACGGCTAAGCAGTTTTGTCTGGAGTACGAGTTAAGACCCAAGATTCTGGAGGCCAGGCTCGGTGCCTGGGAGAACGGGCTCATTCTGGCCTACTCTGAGTCCATTCTCCCTCTGCAGCAGGCCGGACGGGGCGGGTGCCATTCACGGGCTTCCAGTGGTGCTTGTGCACGCACACGCGGGTTCACATGTGCACACCGCATGCTTGTGCACGCACACGTGAGCTCACACGTACACACAGCTGGTCGCACGGGAGGCTCCTGAGCCGAGGGGTGCGGGTGGGGGCAGCGTGAGGTGCAGCCAGGGCCGGCCTGCGCCCATGCAGGGCTCGGGCATTGAGAAAGAGTCTTGGCAGGACGTGGGGTAGGGGGGTGCCTTTCCATGGCAGTCCCCGCAGTGGGGAGCTGAGGCAGATGCTTGTTGAGCCGCAGGCCAGTCTGACCCTGACCCTAACAAAAAACGGTAAGCCAGGGAATGCTGCCGTTTCTGAGGTATTTACAGGGGGGGAATGTGCCTCCAGGGCCTGGTCACAAGCCCAGTGGCTTCCTCCGGCCGCCACCCCCACAGCAGCTGCAGCGCCATGCTCCCGCGCGCCGTCACCTGACATGACCTGCAGGGATGACCATTTCCACTGCCTGACTGGAAAGCCGGCCTTGGGTAGCACGTTGGCTAACCCAGGCGGTTGCCTGGGCATCTGTGTAGGAAGCTCCGGCAGGCTGGCCTCACCTGGAGCCCCCGGAGCAGCCACCTGCAGAGATGGCGCCATGTCCCCAGCAAGGCTCCCAGCAGAACTCAGGGAGTACCATGCCGCTCTAGAGAGGCGTGCTGGGGGTGCTCACGGACCAGAAAAGCAGCCCAGCCTGCCAGGCGGGTAAAAAGCGAGTGTCCATCCCTACTGATGGCCTGCACCACCTCTGTCACGTACGAATGACACAAGCGTGTTCTCAGCTTATCTGCACTTGTCTCTGGGAAGGTTCTGGAAGCACAGGCGTGTGGCCTCAGGTGCCTGGTGGGAGCTGGTTTTCCTGTCCGCGCCCACAGTGGGCGGCTAGCTTCTCTGCCTCACGTGCCGTCTCCGCTTCCTCCTTTTGCTTTTCTGCCACGCGATGTTGACGTAAACGTGTCGGGACCTGGGGTGTGAGCTAGCATCTGTCCACCTGGGTGGAACTGTAGGTTGAAGCTAGTGTTCTGTCCCCACGGGCGGAACAGCACAGAACTGTGCCCCGGCGCACTGCGGTGTTGTCTGGGTGCTCAGCTGTGAAGTAGGTCCCTGGCGAGCGGCAGGCAGCCTGCTGACCCGCTGCTGTGCCCTCTGCAGTACCATGGCAGCCTGGCGTCCCTGAACGGGCTGGAAGTCCACCTGCAGGAGACACTGCCCAGAGAGGACGCGGGCCCCGCCAGCCGCACGCACAGCTTCGTGCACTACGACCGCGTGCAGGGCGTGTTGATGGGTGAGGAGCGGGCACTGGCCAGTGCAGAGCGCCAGGAGTGCCTTCTAGAAGCCAGTGGAGGGAGCCCCAGGTTTTCTGGCCCCAGGCGGGGTCAGATGGACCGGCTGGTGCTGGTGGGCTGTCTCCTTAGTGGTCCGAGAGGCATTCACGCGTGCTCAGATGCCTGTGGGGTCTGCCCCAGAACTCTAAGATGCCCACAGAGCCCTATGGGCTCCTGGCCAGGGCGGCTCTGCCTGCTTTCCAGGCACCTGGGCTGGGCTTAGGAAGGGAGGGAAGGGCGGCTGGGCTCAGCTGCTCACCGGCTCTGTTTCCTCCTGGAAGCGAACCTGCTGCTGGGGCCCACCCCCGTGGACCGCCGCTTCCTGCAGGCCGTCAGCCTGATGCACTCTGACTTTGCCTGGCTGCCCACACTGTACGAGATGACTGCCAGGTGAGCCGCGCCCCCCCCCCCCCCCCCCCCGCTCTGTCACCCCAGGTCCCAGGGCGGAGCTGCGCCCTGGCAGGCCGGCAGTCCCCTTGCCACCAGCTCCGCCGAAGCCCGGCTGTGGCCGCCGCATGACACACGGGTCCACTGCACACCAGTGCCAGGTTGCTGGACGGCTCCGGGATTCTTCCTGCGGTTAGTCCTCTGGAAGCGGTGCCTGTGCCTGCCCCCACGGTGCTAGGTGCAGCCAGGCGGCGGCGGGGCTGTGTCGGCACCCAAGCCAGTGGCAGATCTGAGTCAGGCCCTCCAGACCTTGCCATGGCCCCAGGGGTCCCCGGCAGCTGGAGCAGGACCGGCCCTCCTGTCGTTAGGGAGCGAGCCCGCCCTGCTCCCCGAGGAGGCCGGGCTTCGCTGTGCCCTGCCGTCCCTCCCTCCTCCCTCCCTCAGCCTCCATGTCCACAGGAGACGTCGTCATTGTCCATCCCCGGTCCCCCCCCCCCCATCACCCTGTGCGGGGAGCAGACTCAGCTTTCCAGAGACTGATGTGGCACCTCTCGGAGTGGTGGGGGATGGGGCTGCTCCAGGGGGAGGGGGGACTGGCCACGACCCTCCCCACCCAGCCCCGACAGCTTCAGGTCAGGCCCGCCACACGCCACCTAGGCCCAGGGTGTTGAAGACAGTGTCTGTGGGCACCGCGTCCTGAAACCCCAACGCGGCGGCAGCGCCGGTGCCCTGCTGGGCACAGCACACAACAGGTGTCCCTCCCGGCCTTGTCACCCTGCCCGCAGGAGTGCCGCCACGGCCGTGTACGCCTGCTGCAGCCCTGCCCAGGAGACCTACTTCCAGCAGCTGGCGCCGCCGGCCCGCAGCTCGGGCTTCCCCAGCCCCCAGGACGGCGCCTTTGGCCTCGCTGGCCAGGCCAGGCAGAAGCTGCTGAAGCACGGAGTGAACCTGCTCTGACGGGGCCCTGACGCCCACCCTGGCCCCGGCCCGCCGGAAGGCCCGGCCCAGAGGGCGCCGCCGCTGTGCACTGCAGAGCTCCCTGCCTGGGTTCCGTGGGGTGTGGGGGTCGCACGTGGTGCCCGGGTCCTGCAGGGCCTGCTCGAACCTCTCTGCCTCCTGTCCCGCAGGCCGTGCGAGCTCCGTCAGCCCCAGCTGCCTCCCCAGCTTCGGGCTCCCCAGCGCCCGGGAGCGGGCGCGCAGGGCCTGAGGCAGGGCCTGAGGATGTGCTGGTTTGGGCGAGGGCGGGCTGGGCAAGCACCCCGTCCCACGGGGGACCCCAAGCCCTCCATGGTCGGCAGCTCGTGCTACATGCCTCGTGTTTCGGGGCCCATGGGGGAACTTCCCAGCCTCTGCGGTATCTAGCCAGGCATCTGGCACCCCAGGCACCCTACTAGCTGTGTTCCATTACGGCCTGGTGTCGTTTTCCTGAAACAAGTTGCGGAGGGCTAAGAATAAAGGAAGCAGCACCGGAGAGGGCTGAATCGTTCCTAGCATTCCTGGTGATGTGTGCATGTGCATGTGTGTGTGTGTGTGATCCAACAGGTCTCAGCTGCCTGAGGAGCTAGGGTTACAGGTGTGAGCCACAGCACCCAGCCAGTGGCCTTGTTCACAGCGTAGGGCATAAGCAAGGTCTAGGCCTCCTGGGGCCCCTGTGCACCCCCCCCCGACTCCCTGTGCCCCAGAGGGGGCTGCGTCCAGACCTGCCCTCCAGCACTGCAGGGGCCCAGGCTGGCACTCGAGTCTGCCATTGGAGTGTCTGCTTAGAATGTCGGCATGGACTTGCGTGCTTAGGCCGTTGAGGTGACTCGTGCACCCGTTACCATGTTGCTCTGACCTTCTGTGTCGTCTGGATGATGCCAGGGGCAGGCATCTTGTGCTGTCCAGGCTGGTAGCTCACACCTACAGTCCTCCCAGCTCAGGAAGCTGAAATCCAGAGGGTCACAGTTTAAAGCCAATCTGGGCAGGAAAATCAGTGGTTAATCTCTAATTAGCAAAAAGCCTGGCTGGAGGCCAAGCCCAAGGGGTAGAGTGCAGGTGGAACAACGGGAAGGCCCCATGTTCCAATCGCCGTATTTGCTTTATGGAACTGGAGAGGGGAGCGGTAGGGAACGTGCTTGCCCCCTCTGAGCCTCAGGTCCTTCCTCTAGATTCCCATCCTACAGCACGGAGCCCCACTTTTTCCTCATTGGTTCTGCTGAAGAACTTGGTGGGTGATGTGTCCAGTTTCTGCCCAGTCAGGCAGCCCAGGGGCCCAGGAGGAGCCGATGGGTCTGGCCCCCAAACTCAAGGCCTTAGCAGGGGCTGTTCTAGCCTAGCTGGCTCAAAACTGGGGTCCGGAGGCACTGAGGGTACAGCAGCTGGTGGGGGGGGCCCTGGGCTCCACCCCCTCAGTGCAGAGATAAATAAGTGCTGAACAGATAAGCCGGCTGGGCCGTGGGCAGGACGGTGGGGGCGGGAGCTGGGCCGTAGGAGGGGCCGGGGCCTCTGCCAGATGTGGCGGGAGGTGGGCCGGCTGCCTGGGGTAGGAGACAGGGCTGCGTTTGCAGCAGGCAGGAGGCCGGCCCCCCTCACACAGGAACACCTCCAGCCACAGTGTGGAGGGGTGAAGCACACCGCAGCCCGGCTGTGGCTCCCTCAGCTGAGGCCCAGGGGGAACACACCCTCTTGCCACGCCTCCTTTTCTGGTGCCCAGCAGATCGAAGCACTGGGCTCTTGAGTGGGTGCCAGGCACCATCTCTGTCAAGAGCTAACGTAAGAAAAGGCTGAGGGGCGTGTCCCAGCGGACAGACCATTAGCCTTCCCGTTGTCAGAAGCCTGGGTTTTTACATCGATGGTATTCCAGAGGCCGCCTGCTGCCCTGTCCCCGCTTTTTCCCTTGCTGTATGGGGTGGGATGCAGGGCCGTGTGTGTGTGCACACGCGCACACAGAGCTGTGCAGCCACGTCAGCCTCAGCATGTGGCCCCAACACAATCCCCCGAGGAGAGTGACACCCACCCCCATGGCTCCAGCCCACACCCCTTCTCCCCAACACTACTTGAACAGTGGGTCTGGTTTCAGATCTTTATTTATTCCTGTGCCCTGGCACATCCCCCGAGGGTGGGCGGGCCCCATGGGCTGCAGGCTGTAAACGTAGGGCAGTGTGCGTGGACCATGCACGTCGGGGCTCTGACACGGCACAGACGGCGGGTGGTGGACGTGCTGTGTCTTCTGCCTGCTCGCCAGAGGCCCAGCCCACAGCAGGCGGTGTGTGTCCTTGCGTGAACGCCGGGCCCGTGGTGGGGCTGGCTGCACCTGTCCAGTTCCTGAGCTCTGCACACGACCCTGCTGTCAGGACCCAGTCCCAAAACAGCGTGAGAGTGCAGCTGCTGCCGGCCGCTCACGGGAGGCTGTCGAGATGAGCATCCCCAGTGGGCGTCCACGCCCTTCCCTTTGGGAAGAGAACGATGTGATCTTCACTGAGGCCGAGAGGACCGCACAGGGAGCCCAGGTCCTTGGGGACGGTCTCCCCGCGTCTGCGCGTGCATGTGCGTGCGCACACACGGCTTGCCACTCGGCACATACTTTTGTATGGTGACAGATGTGAGCCGATCACTGTCTGAATCTCGCATTTGAACGTGGAAAGTCATCAGCAACAGAACTCTACAGCAGAACAGACCGAGGGGCAGATCCAGGGCTCTGTGGGCCAGAAAAGGCTTCCTGGAGCATGACTGGATGCGGGCCCGGCCCACTGCGCCCCCGTGGCCAGCCTGGCTCTCGCCACCGCACACCCAGAACCAGCGCAGTGGGGACAGGGCCAGGCGGCTCCGCGGGGGCCCCGCTTGGGTCTCAGCTGTGTAGATGAGGAATGCTCCTACCGCCAGGGGGTCCCTGGCAGGCTCCGAGGGGCGGGTGCAAGGGTGACGGCTCCCTAGCCCACACGAGAAGCCGGGGTGCAAGGGCTGCAGATGGAGAGGGCCCCGCACGCCAGCACCACGCCCAGATCCCCGGCTGTTGTCTTGGTTTTGTTTGGTTTTGCTTTACAGATGACCACAAGGAACTTGCACAGGATCACGTTCAGACAGACAACCATTTGGTGACTCTTAGGACACGGAGGAAACCGAGTGGCGGGGGCACGTGGACGGGGTCCGAGCCACTCGCGGCCGAGGGGGTGCACTGCTGGGCCAGGGAGGGACCTCAGAGCAGGTGACTGGAGGGGAAAACAAATCCAGGGAGATAGAAGCAGAGACGCTGTGTGGCGGCGGCGGCCACGGGATGTGGTCCCCAGCGGCGGGATGTCCCGGGACAGCTCCGAGGAGACGGGGGCGGTGTCACACCGCGCATGGCACCCGGCGCGGCGCGGCGCGGCGGTCCTGCGCTTCGGGCTGGGCTCAGCCAGCCCATCTCACTGGCTCCGGCAAAGGCGGCGTCCTCATCGTCCCGGGGCGAAGATGAAATCCAGGGCCTGCCGCTCGGCAGCTGCCACATTCGGGTGCCACAAGTCCACCATGAAGACCACACGTGGCCCGTCCTCTGCTGAACCTGTGGAGAGGCAGAGAGGTGCAGGGTCGGGGCTGGGGCGTGCAGGGCTCCAGGCGGCCCATGCCGCCTCCAGGCCAGGATCCAAGGGTGGAGGGGCGCAGGGCTGGGCACCGGCTCCCTCGCTGCAGCTGGACGTTTAAAGTGTCTTTAAGTTAGCCCAGCCCAGGAACCCAAATGACTGCTAATGGCAGCTACCAAGTTGAGGCTGGCTCCTTGGTCGTGGGAACGTGGTGCACACGTGAGCGTGTACATGTGTGCATGCGTGCACACAGGTGTGTGTAGGGGGTTGACAGGAAGGGACACCCTTGGTGCTTACTGCTTGGGGGGGGGGTGCCCACCTTGGTGGAAGGCAGTGTGCAGGAAAGAGTCGTCGAAGAGAAGGCAGCGGCCTTCTGCCCAGCACTGCGGCTCGCCCCCCACCACCAGCTCGCAGCCACTCGGCGTCTTCAGACCTTGTACAGAAAAGAGGGAGAGTGAGGGAGGCTGGAGGTTAGAGGGCACAGGGAAGAAGCTGCTTTGGGCCTCTGCTCTCGGCCGGAGCCCTTGCGCGGGTCCCAGCGCCTGCATCCCCCAGCGTTCCCGGGTTGGAAGGCGATGGAGCTAGGAGGCCGGGCCTTTGCGGGTGGAGGCCGGGCCTTTGTGGGTGGAGGCCGCGGAGGGAGGCTGGAACCCAGGCGCACACCGGCTGCAGTGGTCCTGACCAAGGACGCCTCATCTTGGAGCTGTTCTGAGGGCCCGGCCCGCGGTGGCTGCATCCTAGCGGCCTGAGAGGAGGCCCAGCGTGGGCCTCGGGTGAGGCTGAGGAGGCCCCTGGGCTCCTGCTGCTCCAGTCACAGCCCGGCACGCGGCCCTGGGCCTCCCGTTCTGCAGGGCCTTGGACTTGGGGGAGGCCAGGGTCAGACCTAGGTGGTGCTCTCCACAGCCAGCTCCGGCCTAGGTCAGCCGTCACCAAAGCCACAGGCTGGTGTGGAGCTCCGGCGAGGATGGAGCACCTCCAGCCTCCAGCCTCCATCCTCCATCCGCGGAGGTTTGCTGGGTCCTGGCCTCCCTGGCTTCATTCTGGGAACGCACAGGACAGTCTGGCGCCTGTGTAACAAGCCACACGTTTGAAATGCAAGCGCCGAAGCCCACAGGGCCCGGCCCTGCAGAGTGTGTGCCCCCTCGGGGTCCTACAGCCCATGGCGACACCCAGCCCACCTCCACGCAAGGCGCATGGGGGGGCTCTGGACGGGGGGGGGGGGCAGGTGCTGGCCTGGTCTGTCTGTCTGCAGCTCCTCCTCCAGCTTGTGCACTACCCCTGCACTAGACACTGTCCTCCCCTCCCCCGGCCGGAAGACCCCAACAGCCCCGGTGTCGGAATGCTCTGTGAACCATGAATGGCTCCAGGGATGGCTGCACAGGGGAGTGGGAGGGACAGAGGACGCAGGCTGATGGCCCTGCTCCTATGTGCTGTGTGCCTTTGGGGGAAGTCACCCATCCTCTCTGGGCCCCACCCAGCTGTGAGGGAGGGGGGACATTCGTCTATCTACCTGTCAAGCATGCTATGAGGCTTTTAGGCTGCGTCAACACTTTGCAAGGAGCCGGCATGGTGGTGCACGCCTGTAATCCCAGCTACTCTGAGCTAGGGGCAGGAAGACTGAGATCTGAGATCAGCCTGGGCAAAAGCATGAGACCCTAACTGAATGAAAAGGGGCAAGTGGTAGAGCACCTGCTTAGCATGCACAAGGCCCGGAGTTCAAAGCCCAGGGCTGCCAGACTGGCAGGCCAACAACACGCACGTTGCAGACAGAGCAAACGAGCAGACTGGGCTCGGGGTCTGCTGGGAACTGCAGGGCGGCCCTCACAGAACCCTGCGCTCAAGCTCTCCCTGCGGGTCTTGGCCCGGGCTTTCCTGCAGTCATCTGAGCCTGGAGCAGGCGCGCACTGGGCCGTGGTGCTGGCCGGGCAGCTGCACCTGTGTGAGCCTGGGCGGACTTCTGCCTGGGGAGAGTGGGGTGGGGACCTGGGTTCACCCCTGGGGCAGGACACAGTCTCCTTCCTCTACGCCACCAAATGGTGCCCCTCCCCGCACCTCGGTGCAGAAATGGCGGGGCTGGCTGCGAGGCCCTCCTTCCTGCCCTCCCCCTGCCCGGCCCACAGCCCTGACCTCACCATGGCCCCCCATGCCTGCCCACGGCCTGCCACGCCTGCCCACGATGACCACCAACTGCATAGGGGGCACACAGGATCCCTGCTCCCCAAACACAGCCCTTGGGGGCTCCTGGGGTAGAGACCAGCCCTACATGTGGCCTTGGCTGTTCTGGTTGTCCGTGGCCCCTTTAGGAAGCAGGAGGAAGGGCTCTGCCCCCATCTACCCGCCACGAGCCTCTGGATGGTTCACAGCGCCACATTGCGTGTACCTGGCTGGACCGGCCACGCACGCTCGCGGGCTTCCGTCAGCAAGCTTGGGGGCTGAGGCGGTTTTCTGGGAGACTGGCACTGCGCTCTGCGGGGCAGCGGATGGTCCTGGGGCTCCAGGGAGGGGTGTGGCCGGGTGGCTGAGGGGCTGCCTGCGGCAGGCAGATGCAGGGCGGGGGGCTTGCCCAGGGAATGCCAGTGGGCGTGGGGAGGGGCTCACACCTGGAGAGGTGGAGATGTGGAAGCTGTGGGTTCGAGGCCAGCCCGGACAGGAAGGGCCTCAGGCCTCCATCTCACCGAGTGGCTGCATTGTGGTCCCCGGTGACAGAAAGGGGACCACAGCTCAGACACAGTGCAAGACCCAGCCTGGAAAACAGCCAGTGCAAAAGGGACTGGGGGGAGAGCTGAAGTGGTAGAACACTGGTCTAGCCAGCACTCAGGCCGCGAGTTCAATCCCCAGTAAATGCACACTCGCAAATGCTGAGAAATCCCAGCCGCAGGCTAGCAGCACAGGCCGCTACCCCAGCTGGGCCTCTTCCAGAAGGTTCCTAGCAGCGCTGGGAGCTCAGAGGGCCCACGGTTGAAGCGTTGGGCCTCGATGCAGACCCCATGGGTTCACCCAACACGCATGCGCACACGTGCATGGTGCACACCACCCAAGACCGGGCCCGCGGCGTGGGTGATGTCTGGCAGCAAGAATTGCTCTACATGTGGGACCCCAACCCAGCCTGCCATCCGAAAGCTTCTGAAGACCTGAGTAGCTCTGGATGCGTGAGGCCAGGGGTCCCTAAACCAAAGCACCTGCAAAGGAAACTACCCCCCCCCCCGCCCCGCCATCCCCCCAGAAACCCACAGCCAGGCTCTGACGGGACGCGCAGGGTGACGCTGTCTTGTCACGTGGGTGAAGGTGGCCTGGGGGCTGTCCCCAAGCTGGAGGGGCAGCAGGAGGGGGGGTGTCCCAGCCCTGTGCCCTTAGGATGAGCTGGGTGAGATCTGGTCTCTCCGTCTCACAGTGCAAAGGCGTTTCCCTTTTCTGTTTTGGCAGTCCTGGAGTCTGACTTCAGAGCCTCATGCTTACTAGCCTGGAGCTCTACACCTTGAGCCATGCCTCCAGTCCTGTCTTTTTTTCTTGCTGGGTTTTTTTTTTTTTCTGAGATAAGATCTCACTTCCAGCCCAGGCTTCCAGCCCAGGCACAATCTACCCACTTTGGGTTTCCACAGTGGCTGGGATTATAGATGCATACCACAACGCCCAGCTTCCCTAGGTGGAGTTGGAATTTGGCAGGCCTTGAACCCTGATGCTCCTGTCCCTAGCCACCTGGGCCAAGGCGGCAGCCGGCAGCCAGAGGTAGTATCTGGAACTTGAGTTCCTTGGGTGCCTTACAAGACAGCAAGTGCTCACCGCCTCATGCAGCTGGTGGCTACTGTACCAGATGATGGAGAATATTCTCGCCTTCCACCCCTGGGAGGGTTTTGTGGGGATTTGTGGCAATCTAGGACCTGGTACTTGGTAGACAGTCAGGCTAATAGACGTTTTTCAGGCAGGGTCTTGTGTTTTTGCCAGGAGCCAGCGTGGACTGCAACCCTCCTGAGTCTTTGCCTAGCTGGGTCACAGGCACGTGTCCCCAAACCTGGTTTATTTGCTGAGATGGAGTCTTGCTAACTTTTTTTTTTGCCCCAGCTGGCCTCAAACCATGATCCTCCCAATCTCTGTCTACCTTGTAACTGGGATTACAGATGTGAGCTACTGCACCTGGCTCCCAAACTTCATTGAAAATCAGGTTTGGGGCTGTGGCTCTGAGGACAAGCAGAGGCTGAGCGTGAGTGAGGCCCTGGGCTGGATTTCTGGCACTAAAGGGTGTGTGGGGAGAGGTTTAGGTTCACACAGAGCAGTTTCCTTTAAGGCCCAATGTCAGTCACAACTGTACTCTTTCCCTGCCTCCCTCTCTCCCTCCTTCTCCCCGCCCTCTTTTCTTTCGTGCTCGTTCTAAGAAGGCTTGAACTCAGGGCTGGGTGCTATCCCTTAGCTTCTTCTTGTTTTCTTTCTTTTTTTTGTTGGTCATAGGGCTTGAACTCAGGGCATGGGACTGTCCATGAGCAGTTTTGCTTAAAGCTGGCACTCTACCACTTGAGCCACAGCGCCACTTCCAGTTTTTGGTAGTTTTTTTTTGTTTGTTTTTTTGGGTCTGGTCGTGGGGCCTAAACTCTGAGCCTGCGCACTGTCCCTCAGCTCTTCAGCTCAAGGCTAGCGCTCTACCACTTTGAGCCACAGCGCCACTTCCAGCCTTTTTCTTTTTTGCTTATGTGGTGCTGAGGAATCGAACCCAGGGCCTCATGCATGCGAGGCAAGCGCTCTACCACTGAGCCACCTTCCCAGCCCGAGTTTTCTGGTGGTTAATAGGAGATGAGAGTCTCATGGACTTTCGCGCCCGAGCTGGCTTTGAGCCGTGATCCTCAGATCTCAGTCTCCTGAGGGGCTAGGATGACAGGTGTGAGCACTCAGCTTCCCTCGGCTTTATTGATCAAGGGCTGGCCCTCTACCACTTGAACCACAGCTCCTCTTCTTTCTTTTTTCTTGGGGGGGTGGTGGTTAATCAGGGGTAAGGGTCTCACACGCTCTAATGCCCCGGGGTGGCTTTGAACCTTGATCCTCGGGTCTCAGCCTCCTGAGGAGCTCACCAAATGTTGCCCAAGGCACCTTAGGCCTTTGGCAAGGCTCCACATCCAGGCCAGAGAGGGGCCTGGTGCGCCGCCCGGGGTGGGGGACCCCCTGCCCACCCCAGGAGCAACATACCTAGGTGGCACCGGACCCGGATGTTGGTGGGCCCGTAATGCTCGGCGATCACGGTCCCGGGGCTCAGCACGGAGATGCAGGCGTTCCCAAACACATTGTTCCCAATGCAGGTGCGCAGGCTGCCCAGCAAGCGGGACGTCCGAGGGCACCGCCTGCAGTTCCTGGGGACGCACACGCCCTGGCTGAGCAGGTGGAAGGTGAGCCACTCGCCGCCCGCCGCGCCGTGCGCCTTCCAGCCCTGCGGCAGGCTGCAGTTGGAGAAGGCCTTGTACAGGGCCTCGAACTCGCACAGGATGGTCTGGAAGTTGCGCTCCAGCAGCTCCACGTCGTGCTTCTGCGCGTCGCGCGCGAAGTAGGGCGCGGTGGGGAGGTCGGGCAGGAAGAAGACCTCGGGCTTCTGGATGGAGGGCCGGCCGCCGCGGTAGCGGCCCTGCTCGCGGATGCCCTTGTGGATGCGGCCCATGCCGGCCCACGAGTAGCGCTTGGCGTACTCCTGCAGGTTGCGGTAGAGCCGCTGGTCGCGGCCGCAGCCCGGGGCCCCGCAGGCCGCGCAGCCGTCCCGCGGCCCCCGCGGCCGGGGCGCCCGGCAGCAGCGCGGCCCCCGGCGCGTGCGGCCGCGGCGGCTCGCGGCCCACCTGGTAGCAGTACCACACGAAGAGCACGAGCAGGCCGCCCACGGCGCCCACGGCCGCCGCGTCCCAGTCCCGCACCGCCTGCATGCCCGTGGCCACGCAGTCCCGCAGGCCGTCCAGGGACCAGGGCCAGCCGGCCGGCCCCGCGGGGGACATGGCCGGGCGGGGGGGGGGGGGGGGGGGCGCGGGGCTCACACCGCGCAGGCGCGGCGCATGGCGGCCCGGGCCTCACACCGCGCGGGTCGGCAGCGCGCAGGCGCGGGGCATGGCGGCCCGGGCCTCACACCGCGCGGGTCGGCAGCGCGCAGGCGCGGGGCATGGCGGCCCGGCTCCCCCGCGGCCTGCGGGGGCCCGCGCCGAGGACCAGGCCGAGGCCGCTCAGGAGATGGCAGACCTGCCATGGAAAGAAGGAGGAAGGGAAACCGGGTCAGTGTGCAACCTGGAAAAGCCTCCGGGTGTCTGGGGCCACGCTGCCATCCGGTAGTCCCCCCCCCCCCCCCCCAAACAGTCAGATGCACGCTCCCATCTCCTCTCCATTAGGGACGGACAACAGCAGTTGCCCATCCTCTGTGGGCTCACTTTACAGATGAGAACACAGAGGCCCAGAGAGGTTATACAAGTCACCCAAGGCGCACAGGACAGGGACAACCCCCCCCCATCGGCCTCAGTATCTAGCGTCCATGACTCCTTCATAGGCTGATTGACCTTGAGACACAGTGCTTTGTGATGAACAGAAATGTGGGTCCAAAGTATCTTAATAGGTGGCAAAGAGCCAGGCACAGAGCAACCGGCTCATTCTTGGGAGGTTGAGTCAGGAGGATCGTAGTTAGAGACCAGCCCGGGCAACAGAAGTGTGTGAGGGCTTCCCCCCCACCCCACCGTGATCAATAAAAAGCTGGGCCTGGTGGTGTGCATCTGTCATCCCAGCTATATGACAAGCATAAATAGGAGGATTGAAGTCCAGACTGGCCCTGGAGAAAAAGCAAGACACCATCTCAAAAAATAACCAGAAGCTAAAGAGCTGCAGGCTGTGCCTGCACTGATGGAGTTCCTGCTCAGCCAGTGCTAGGATCTGAGTTCTAGCTACTTTAGAAGGCTGAGATCTGAAGATTGCAGTTCAAAGCCAGCCCAGGCAGGCAAGTCCATGAGACTCTCATTCACAACTACCTAAAAGATGGAAGGGGGGCTGCAGCTCCTGTGATAGAGCTCCAGCCTTAAAAAAGCAAAGGGAGGGGCTGGGAAGGTGGCTCAGTGGTAGAGTGCTTGCCTTGCATGGCTGAGGCCCTGGGTTCGATTCCGCAGCACCACATAAGCAAAAAGAAAAAAGCCGGAAGTGGAGCTGTGGCTCAAGTGGTAGAGCATTAGCCTTGAGCTGAAGAGCTGAGGGACAGCGCCCAGGCCCAGAGTTCAGGCCTCATGACCGGACCCCCTCCCCCCCCAAAAAAAGCAAAGGGACAGTGCCCAGGCCCCAGTATTGGCTCACGCACACACGTGTGCATGCACGTACACACGCACACCCCAAACAGCAAAGGCTTTAAACATGATGTTCTTTACTTCCCCTTTCTCTCCTCGGGTCCCTGATGGTTCTTAATCTGCTTGTTCCAGGACAGTCTGGACTCAGAGCCCGGCCGCCATGGGGTGGCCTCATCCCCAGGGGTATGATGTGAAATTATGGAGATGAAGGGAAAGTGGAAGCCTTCCCAGGCCCCTGCCTCAGTTTACCCCTGTGATCATGACCCTGCCCTGCCCAAACAGCCAGGAGTGCTTTGCCAGTCCCCTTGCTGGGGCCAGAACCAGAGGCCAGCCCTCCAGTTACCCAGACGCTGGGCCGTCACAGCCCAGCCCCAAGCGCAGCTCCCCCCAGCTCTGGCATCTTTTCTCAGGGCCATGCCAGCACCCAGCTCTCCCTGTCTCCCGCCTCCTGCACGTCTGTGCGCTCCCAGGGCTGGGGCAGTGCCACTTACAGCCCGTCCCTTCCACCTCGGGCACAGGAAAATCCTCCCCCTCTCTTCTTCCTGAGGACTAACTTGGCCTGGAAGTCTTCCATAACATGGCAGGTAAGTTAGGGACAAAGTGGAGGAGGGCTGGGCCGAGTGTGATGCCAGCCTTGGGCAGGGCACCTGTGGTTCCATGCCTGGGTGGGGTCATGTCCACCCATCAGCCGGGCTCTGCTGCGGTCACCTGAGACACAACAATGGGCGGGAGCAGGTGGATGCCGGTGAGGGGTATAAAATGTGCTCAGTGCATGCTGGTGACTGCATTGGGGTAGGAATCCCAGGGCCTGGACCCCAACAGCTCAAGGTGAACACCCCTCCCTGCACATGCAAGCGATCATCCAGACTTGCTAAGCTCCCAAGGAGAGAGAAGCCTGGGCGCTCACCCACTGCCTCCCGCTCCTTCCCAGTGTCAGAGGAACAATCTCTTGACTACAGTGTTCAGAAAGTCAACACCACTCGTGCTGAATATTCATGGGGTTCTTCTGCTTCTAGGAAAGCACACAGGAGTGGGGAGGCTGAGCCCCATTTCTCCTGTGGTTTCAGGTCTCCCTCGGAGGGAGCCAGGGCCCGGGATGAGAGGCTCTGGCCCTCGGCCTCTCCCAGCCCCTCTCCCCGCGGGGCTGTCTCCTCTGGAGGAAAGGGGAGAGAATCCTCTCGCTTTGCACAGAGCTTCAGGATTCCTGACACTCAGGTGTGAAACTCAGCCGTGATAACACACGTGGCACTTTTAGGAAAAGGGTTTTTCCAGCTGCAGCCTGGCTCCAGCTTCACACACAGAGGAAGCGAGTTCCCGCCAGCCGCCCTGGCCATTTGAAGTTCAAGGAAATGCAGGCACAGAAAGCAATGGGGTGGGTGAGGAGGAGGGGCCCAGCCGTCCATCCCCCCCACCCCACCCAGCCAGAGACAAACACAGCCAGAAGCCCAGAAACATCAGCCAGCACTAGGCCAGGCCTTCTACCTGCCTGTCAGTCACTTGTAGCAAGCTCTCCTTCCAGACAGGGGTTTGTTTACAAAAACTTAGCCATTATATTGACCGGGAAATTTCAAACACACATCCCTCTCCCCTCACCCCAACTCCCAGCCTTAAAAGAGGAGAAGAAGAGAAGGAAGGAGGGGACACCGGGCCCCCAGCTGTGCTCAGGGGGCCACAGTAACTTCTGGTTTCCTTCATCCTCCTGGCTCATTTGCAGCTTTTATTCTTGTCCCTGTCTCGGAAGGGGACATCTCCCGGAGCTGCACTGACAGAGCATGCAAGCTCAGGTCTGCAAGGTGGGCTGGCTCCGGGAAAGAGGGTTCACATGCAAGGCCAATCTAGGATGGCTTCCCACAGGATGGACTCCTGGGGGGGGGGGGCGGCCTCAGCTTGTGCGCTTCACTCAGCTCCGATGACCAGCCCGGAGCTGCTCAGGGCCAGAGTGGTGCTCAGCCCCACACGGGGAGGCCAGTTCCCTCACCAGTCACCCCAGGACCAGCGCAGCACAATACAGGCCACCCTCTCCGCGGGGAGCCGGCCCTGCCCTCCTCCCCTGGGAAACCAGATGGTGACCCCTGGTGGGGAGGGGGGGCGAGGTTGGGGTGCGTGGGGATGAGGCCCGGGCAGGTGAGAGTCGCACTGAAAAGTGGGCGGGCAAGTAACGATGTGTGTGTGGGGGTAACCCACGGGACATGTGGAGGTGGGGGACGGCGAGGGGGGAGGACGAGAGGCTGGAGGAGGGGGCAAGAACGGGGAGGAGGGGGGAGGAGGGAGAGGGAGGAGGGGAGGTGGGGGGAGGAGGGGAGGGGAGCGTGGTGATGATGATGATGGTGATGGTGATGATGGTGATGGTGATGATGATGGTGATGGTGATGATGATGATGATGGTGATGATGATGATGATGATGATGGTGATGGTGGTGATGATGATGATGGTGATGGTGGTGATGGTGGTGATGGCGCTGGCGAGGCCGCCGGCCGCATCCCGTCCCGCGGCGGCGCTCAGCCCGCAGCCCGCGCTGGCCGCGGCGGGGACCCCGCGGTCCCGGGCGGTCGGAGCCCCGCAGGCCTCGCCCGCGCGCGCCCAGCGCCGGCCCGGGCCGCGCCGCCCTCCCGCCCCGGCGACGCGGCTGGCTTACCTGCTCCGGGGCGCGCGGGCGGCGGCGAGGCTGCGGGGGCCCGGGCGGCGCCGACCGCGGTGGCCGGGACGCGCGGACGCCCCCTGCCCGCGCCACTGCCCGGCCCGCGCTGCCCGAGCCTTGCCGAGCCGAGCCGGTGCCCGCGCGCGGTGCCGACGCCGCGCCGCGCTCCGCGGTGCCGCGAGGACTACAACTCCCACAGTGCCGCGCGCGCGGGAGAGGGGCGGGGCCTATGAAAGGAGGGGCGGGGCCTCGATGGGGCGGGGCGGGGCCTGGGCGGGGCGGGGGCCGGGCGGGCGGAGCGGCGGGGGCCTGGGCGCCCGCGTCCGGCCGGGCCGCGCCGTCGGGGCTGTGATTTGCTCGGTACCGAGGCTGCCCAGCCCACCGGACTCGCCCCCGCGCGCGATCGCGCTGCGTTCTGTCGTTGGCCGGGGGGGGGGGGGGGGGACCCGAGACCGGGGGACCCGGGACTCCCGCGGGGCCCTGCGGTGGGGGGGGAGGCCCCCATCCTCCCGCGCCCGGGGCCTCCCGGCTCCCCCCTCCGCCGACGGAGACGCGGGGCCTGGAGGGACAGCCAGCCTCTCTCAAGGTCACCGCAATCCACAGAGACTGTGCGGGGAAGCAGCTGCCGCCGTCACCCTCAGAGCCACCTGGAACGTCTGGGAGCACGAATGCACCCCGAGGCCCCGGGACCAACCTTTGGGCTGGGCGTGGTGGCGCACGCCTGTAAGCCCTGCCCTGGGGAAGTGGAGGCCGGAGCAGCTCAAGTTCAAAGCCAGACTGTGAGCTACTTAGGGAGCTGCTGTCTTACACACACACACACACACACACACACACACACACACGACGGTGCCCGGTGGCTCACACCTGTAATCCTAGCTATTCAGGAAGCTGAGATCTGACAATCACAGTTTGAAGCCCGCCTAGGCAGGAAAGTCTGTGAGACTCCGATCTCCAACAAGCACCCCAAAACAGACAGAAGTGGAGGTGTGGCTCAAGGGGTAGAGCGCTAGGCTTGAGCAAAATGGTCAACGGAGAATGCAAAGA